AGCCGAAGGCAGAGGCTTTAACCCACTGAGCCACCCAGGTGCCCCTTTTTTTGGTAATTTAGATCCCCTCTCTTTTTCTTGCCTGATTGCTGTGTCTAGAACTTCTGATACTATGTTGAATAGCAGTGGTGAAAATGGGCATCTTTGTCTTTTGTTTTTTTTTTTAAAGATTTTATTTATTTATTTGACAGAGATCACAAGCAGGCAGAGAGGCAGGCAGAGAGAGAGGAAGGGAAGCAGGCTCCCCGCTGAGCAGAGAGCCCGATGTGGGGCTCGATCCCAGGACCCTGGGATCATGACCTGAGCCGAAGGTCATGAGCTGAAGGTCATTAACCGACTGAGCCACCCAGGCGCCCTTGTCTTGTTCTTGATTCCAGGGAAGCTTTCAGTCTTCCAGTTGAGGATGATGTTAGGTATAGGCTCGTCACATAATGTCCTAAGAAGTTCCTTTTGTTTCTGACGGTTTTCTTTAAATGTTTGGATCTGAAAAGGAAAAAAAATGTACATTTCTCTTTATATACTTTTTTAAAGATTTTATTTGAGAGACAGCATGAGCAGAGGGAGGGGGAGAGGGAGAAGCAGATTCCTGCTGAGTGTGGAGCCGGAGGCAGGACTCAATCACAGGACCCCGGGATCATGACCTAAGACGAAGGCAGACGCTTAACCCACTGAGCCACAGGCACCCTATGTTGCTTTAAATCTTCACTAGGCCCCACGGGGAGGTTGGTGCATCTGAACTGGTCTTTCAGGGATGCGTCAGACTGAATAAAAGGACCCCACTGTCCACGCTGGCCCTGGCAGCAGGACTGAGGAGCAGGGATGGCAGCTGGTGGGGCAACACCACGCTCTGCCAAGAACACGCATCTCCCTCTGAGCCCCCGTCTGGTGGCTGGGCACCTCCCATCAGGTTCCAAAACTGTTGGTTCTGATCTTTTCTAGCCTGGTGCTGGTTTTGTTGCAGGGACGGACCCCTAAAGCTTCCCCAATCCATCATTTAATATGATGTCTCCAAGTAGTGTTTGGTTTTGATGTTTAGGGAGTGAAGTTTGAGTCCTGACAGCCCAGCCGTCCCTGCCCCTTGCCTTCCCGAGGCGGCAGTGCAGAGCCTCTGCCTTCGCTAGGAGTCGGTCTAGCTCTGGTGGCTAAGGTCAGTTTGAAAGCCGGCCGATGAGCACTGAGACTGAAACAGGTTGCCATGGAAGCCTGGGGGAAAAGCCCGCCTTTCCTGTTGGAGGAGAGAGAAGCATGAAGAAAAGTGAGAGAATACGTGCGAGAGAGACCAGAAGCAGCACTGAATCTGATTGTTCCCCTCCCCCCATGTTTTTTTTGCCCCCTTCGTAGGGTCTCTGGCAAAAAGAGTGAAAGCAAAGAAACCAAGAAGTCTGAAGAACCAAAGATTCGAAAGAAACCCGGCCCCAAGCCGGGCTGGAAGAACAAGCTCCGCTGTGAGAGGTGAGGGCCTGGGTGGGGGCCGCCCTGCCCGGGGGGGGCAGCGGCTCCATGTGTGCTCTGCCTTGCAGGGAGGAGCTGCCCACCATCTACAAGTGCCCTTACCAGGGCTGCACGGCTGTGTACCGAGGGGCCGACGGCATGAAGGTAAGCAGGGCCTTGCCCCGGGGCCAGGGGTTACCTTCTGTGTGTGGCTGACCGGGAGGGCCCAGGTTTCTGTAGAGCCGGGCGTAGACTTGTTCCCCGGGCCTCGTGAGAGCCTCGCTGGGTAGAGTGGAGCAGTGAGCCTTCCACTTCTGGGAAAAGCACCCACTTCCGGTTGAGGGACGGGCGGTTGGGTCTCTTCCTTGGAGGCTGCCGTGCAGGGCCTGTGGGAGGCCTGTGCTGTGTGATCGGGGGTGACTGTCCTGGCCGGGGCACTCAGGGTCTTGCTGTCCCTCCCGCAGAAGCACATAAAGGAGCACCACGAGGAGGTCCGGGAGAGGCCCTGCCCCCACCCTGGCTGCAACAAGGTGTTCATGATCGACCGCTATCTGCAGCGCCACGTGAAGCTCATCCACACGGGTACGGGCCCTGTTCTCCCAGCCGCTCGCCTGCACAGCCCCCCCGGGTGGCTGGTGGGGGCTGGACGCCCTTCAGAGGTGCCTGGGGCTGTGTCGTGGTGCCTTGAGGGTCATGCCTAAGTGGTGTGGGACTGACCGTGAAGAAATCCCGGTGCCTTTCAGCAAGTTTATTGTGGTGGGGGTTTTTCTCATTACTTTTAAAAAATGACATTTATTACATGCTTTTCGGATTGTAAAAGTAACCCACGCGCATTGTAGCAGTTGTAGAAACTAAGCACCTAGAAGATGGTAAGCGCCTTCCCTCCGCACTTCCCGTTGCTTCTGGTTTTGTGTCTGTGCCTTTTTCTGGGTGTTTTTGAGAGTAATGGCCTGATGAAGTCCTGTGGCGCCCTGCAGCGTAGTGGGCCTGTTCCCCGGGGCCCGGCGCCTCGGGGCTAGGGTTGGGGGGGTACGCTCTGCTCTCGAGTCCTGGCCGTTTTAGCCTTCAGACCAGTCGTCTGCAGAGGCTGTCGCACCCGGTGTGGGCAGTGCCTGGTCTGAAGGTGGTGCGCAGCCGGCTGTGCTCTGGTCTGTTTGGGAAATGAGACCTGCTGGCACAGACTGGAACTCCCGGGTTGCGGAACGTGGTGTGAGCCGGGGTTTGGGCTGGTCTTTGGGGGAGGGGGCCTGCTGTCCCGGGACTGAGGCGGGGGGAGTGCAGGTAGCTTGGTGTGAGTTAGGAATGGATTACTGTTGTCCATGCTGGTTCCTGAGGTGGACCTTTGCTTATGCTGGGGGCGGGGCAGGTAAAGGGCACCTGCTGTTCCTTCGCTCCTAGAGAGATCTCTCCAGGATGCCCTCTGAGCTGAGCACATAACCTCACCCCCAACCCATGGGCCCCAGGTGCTCTTGTATGTTCACAGGCTGTGCGCTTGCTCCGAGAGCGGCAGTGCCCTCTGGGCTCTCCCTGAGCCTGGCCCACTGACCTTTACAATTCCAGGCTTGAAGCCCCAGTAGTTGCAGGAACTGGGGAGACTCAGGCCCTCGGCGCCTCTGGCTTTCCAAGCCCGTCGCTCTGGGGGCCCCTTATCCCTGTGAGCTGGTCTGTCTCTTGGCTCTTCTCCCCGAAGGCGGCTCCCTCCTCCTCTCTACCTTTAGTTGTGGGGTTGCTTTTGCCAGTCTTCAGGTCCATTTCTGGGGTATTTGGGAGGATGTGATAGTTTGTTTGTGGGGTGATGTGAGCCGAGGGCCCTCTCCCTCTCCCCACCCATTCTCTGCATCCACATTACAACCCTGGGCTCATGTGCGTCTGTTACAGTTTTGAGTCCCCTCCCTTTAACGACATGATCTGTGCCACCTGTGTTAGAAGCTCAAGGACTGTGTGCGCTGGACCCCGCTGCTGCAGCTTCTCCCCACAAAGCTGCTGTCCTGTGTGGGCATCACCCCCTTTAAATGATCCGTGCATTGTGTATCTGTTTATCCCTAAACAGAAATTGTGCTTGTTTTTGTTAAAATGACTTACTATAGAAAGTTACACTTTACTTTTTTTACCCAGATTTGTCAGTTTTATTGTTGAACAAATCTATTGGTTGGTCTCACCGTGAAACCATTTTTCCTGTGTTTTTTGCTCTTGAGCCACCCCGGACATCTGACACAAATAATTCCCTCAAACTGGGCCTTCAAGTTGTGTCCCAGTTCAGACACCAGTGGTCATAACCATTAGCAGTTTTTTTAAAACACCAAGTTTTTTTAAAACACCAGTTTTTTTAAAACACCAAGAGGGTGGACTGTGAACTTGGAAGGGTGCATTGTACCTAGTAGGGGAGAGAGCCAGTCGGGGGTGGGTGTTTGTAGGTGGAATGGCAGTGAGGAACAGGCTCGTGGCCACCACCCCAGGCACACGTCCAGGAGTGGAACTGACTCTTGGGTTTTTGTTCAAGAGTATAAGAAATTTATTTGCTAAGTGGATATCCCCTTCCCCTACTTTGGACCCAATACGGGGATGATCTTTAGAGCAGTAGTAATCAGTGACGCTTTAGTGATTTGGATGTCCTCTAAGAATCTTTGCTTGATTAGATCTAAAGTTTCTCTTTTAGAAAACAGGCTTCACCTGTGTACAGTAGCTGGCGAAGTCTCAGCCAGGTGACATTTTTAAGCAATTTTAACAAAAAGTTTTACATTAGAAATGTTTTCCATCTCTCAGTAAAATTGGGTTTGCACGGCTCCCTGCTTGGGTCCCCGTGCTCTGTGGGAGGGCTGGGCATTTCTCGTGCGGTGCTCACTGGATCTCTGGCCCCCAGAGGTGCGGAACTACATCTGTGATGAATGTGGACAGACCTTCAAGCAGCGGAAGCACCTTCTCGTCCACCAGATGCGCCACTCAGGAGCCAAGCCTCTGCAGTAAGTGTGGGGACGGGCACCTTCTCAGGGCCATACTGGCGCCCACACCCTCGCTCACATGACCCTGTCCCCCAGGTGTGAAGTCTGTGGCTTCCAGTGCCGGCAGCGGGCATCCCTCAAGTACCACATGACTAAACACAAGGCTGAGACTGAGCTGGACTTTGCCTGTGACCAGTGTGGCCGGCGGTTCGAGAAGGCCCACAACCTCAATGTGCACATGTCCATGGTCCACCCTCTGACGCAAACCCAGGACAAGGCACTGCCCCTGGAGCCACCACCTGGGACTGTGGAGGGCCAGGCCGTGAAGCCCGAGCCCACCTGAACACAGGCGCTAAATGGGGTTAAGACAGTTTCGGTAGTTCCTCATATGCAACCTGATGGCACAGCTTTGCTCGCTCCCCTGGAGCCCCCGTGCTGTACCCCCCCACCTGTGTGTCAGGAGGACACTGATCTGCCGTGTGGTGAAGGTGGGCTCGGTGTGCAACTCATGTAGCCTTTCCAGCCTCCACTCTGGGACCAGCATTTTCCTACAAATACTGAGTGACTCGGGGCCAGATGGATTTTAAATAATTGATTCCTGTTCCCCACCAAAGCAATCAAGATTTGTAATCCACTTTTTAGTGCAAAAGCTCCATGTTATGCTTGTAATAAATTATTTACAAAGGAGCTGGGCTGTGGACTGTGCAGGGTCCAGTCAGAAGAGCTGGGGCTCCTGGTAGAGATCCGCATCAGGCGCCACCTGCTGTCTGCTCAGGAGGGCGGCGCTCACTTCCGGGTCGCAGTCTCCACTAGTGGCCAGCAGCTGCGAGAAAACAACTGTGCTCAGCCCCCTGCGGCTGCCAGGTAAGTGGGCACAGTGTACGTGTCAGATGCCGGATCATTTCTGCTTGGGGCGTTGCACGTTTACACAGTGACCTGGACGTGCTGCACACACCAAACGAGCATCTGGGTGCTACCTCTGCCATGTTCGAGAAGCTCTTCTGGGGGCACCTAGGAATTGATTGCAGCAGAAAATGACGAGCTTTTGTTATCAAGCCTACGGGGTCACCCTGGAGAGAGGACAGGCAGAGCCCCAGGTCAGCGTGCTGTCAGGGGCCATGATGCCCCCACCTGCTCACTGTGCCAGGAGAGCTGGCCACACGGGTCTGAGATGTGTCACTTGCCTGGCCCTGGAGGTCCCGGCCCCTGGTGGCTAGAGCCGAGACTGCACTTGTCTCCCCAGCCACGAAGAGACAGATGAGCTTTAGGTACATGTCGACAGCGACGTGCAGGAAGGCATCTTCCCTCAGGAGGGCGTCTTCATCGAAATAGGAGAGAAGGCTGAAGGTAAGAGACAAGATGCCTCGTGACTCTAAGACGGCACGGAGGTGGGTGGCAGTCGGCACGAGCAGCGACTCATCGGAGGAGTGAAGTTACGGGCCTCTTGCCCACGTGGCGAGAGACCCACAGTGGTACTGATACAGGATGGGGAAGGGGTGACCCCTCCTTGGACCACACACAACCCCCCCAGGTGGGCACCCCTTCGCTGAGAGTGTTGCCACACTACCAGAGCGGCGGGTGCACTTACCTGTAGAAGGCAAACGGCAGCAGCCTGATGTGTGGGTCTGGGGCCAGGCGGAGGAGGACAGGCCCCAGGCCACCTTCTGCAACCAAAGTGGGGAGGGGCGGGTTTAGTTTTGTGGCTGCCTCCCCACCCCAGCACCAGCATGTTCAGGACACCTCAGGTGCCTGGCTGGTGTCGGGGGGCGGGGGCTGTCCCCATGCTGGACGGCAGAGCCTGGGAGGTAGACCCCTACGCCCCCCCATAAGGCCTCAGTGGCACTCTGGGACCCTGAGGACTCCACTCTTCATTGTTGAGATGAGTTTATACTGCATTTACTCTAAAATGTAGTTTATATACTTCCCGAGAAGATAGACTTCCAAAAACGAGTTAGTACCTTAAAGCCCAAACGTTCATACCTACCCAGTGGAAATCATTTTTGAAAAAGGACTAAACAAAGTGGGGACCACAGCCTGTGTCTGCTGGGTCACCTGTTTCCCCAGAGATGGCTGGTAACTGGGACAAACACAGGCCGTTCTCTGCTACCAGGTCCCAGGGACTGTCTTACCCGCCTCGGTCAGCTGGAAGAGCGCCAGCCAGGATACCTTCCTCTTCTCCAAACACCCCAGGATCTCTGCGCAGACGTCCAGAGCCTTCAGGGAGTCAGCAGCCTGCGGCCCGCACAAGAGGAGGCTGGCTGACTCCACAGGCACACGGCGGGGAGGGGTGACCTCTAGCCCAGAGGGAGCCTTTGCTCCTTCTGTTGAGTCATGAATGGTGACCGTAGGGGGTACAGGCCAGGGACAGCTGTGCCCAGGTTCTGAAATGAGACCTCAGAGAAGAGGCCCGGGGCCTAGGGGTTCTCGCTTCAACAAGCACGAGATTCCTGAGGAGCCCTTCGAGAGGAACGTTCCAGGACCCTCCTCCCAGAAACCCTCCTTAGGAGGTCTAGGGCTGGGAGAGAGTCACCTTACCTGATGTCTTGAGTGTGGGGTCAGGTGTGACGAAAGCAGGCCCATTAAGGAGAAGAAGAACAGGACAAGCAGCAGCTGCTGATAAAACCAGCGCCTCAGAACATAAAGCCAGCCGGGCTGCGCCCTCCAAAGCAACTCTGAGTAACGGACGCGGACATGTTCTTTGACTAAACGTTTATAGGCGGAGAGCATAAATTTTTCCTTAAATAGATCTTCTCGGGAAGGAAAATTATATAAAAAAAAAACTTTTTTTAAATTTTAAAAACACTTTAAAGGGTAATTTGAGAATAAACTCTTAGAGACTGCATCCTCTTACGTGTGCCTTTGACACAGCTTGTTAGCGCGACCGCAGGAAGAGCTGTGCCGTGGCCGAGGGCGGGCGCGGTGTGCGAGCTGGGGGAGTGCTCGCCCCCGCGCCCCGCTGCCGGGCTCCTGGCCTAGAAGGGCGTTTATGAACTCCCTAGAGGTAAGTGCAGAAGTCTCTCCCCACCAACCCTGGCGGGTCCACCTCTTCCCAACCCCCTGGAGCACACCCAGGCCGGCTGGGGTCACTCCGGATATCCCCCGCTCCCTTTGAGCACACACAGGCCTCAGAGGCTTGAGGCCACTGAAATTGCTTTCCAACAATTTTTTTACAGTAAATTACCAAAAACCTCAGGCAGGCCTATATGTCCTGAGCTGACAGATGACTTTCCAGTTTACAAATGGTTTAGTTTGGGGAGAGATAAGGGAGCTAAGGCTGTGGGAATAGGAACAAAGAAGGTCGCACTGCCCTGGTCTGGGGAGGGTAAAAATAAGCTAAAAGCAATCAAAAGTGTAACATGTAAGGTACCCTTTCTGTCAATAAACTTGACAGTCAAATATTACTAAATCTATGAACGTGGTAAATCTTAATTCCTAATAAAGTCACAAAAATGCCATACTTCTGTCCTTGGAAAAGCACAGTTCATTAGATGAACCCAGAGAAACAGAGCTGATTGGAACACTGATTAAAAACAAAGTTGCCACAAAAGTGAAAGAATTCATTTCTTGCCTCCTCTCTTTGGCAGTCCAGCTTCTCGAGCTGGCTCTTGATGCTGCTTTTGCCGGCTTGCTGGATTGCAAAGTGTAGCGCCGCAGCGGAGAGCCAGGCCGGGCCTGGTGGGGGGCGTGCCGAGTCGGCGGAGAGGCAACTAGGAGACAGATACGGGTCACCACAGGAACCTCACAGCCATGTCCCGGCAGAAAGCCACCAGCCCTGCTTACCTTCAAGGTGGGGGGGTGGGGGGGGCTTACAGTCTGCAGAACCACCCCTGGCTCGGCATAGGGACCTAGAGGCCGCTGTCTGGGTCCAGCCCCCAGTTGCCCTAACCTGCTTCTGTGCCGTGGACATGAGGAGGGGGTGGGTAGGGCCTGACCAGGACACCGGGTCCTGACTGCCCAAGATTTGCAAGGTTGTGGGTCCTAGAACTCTCAACCTGGAGCTCACCACGCAGACCCCTGGCTTCTGGGTCCAGTCCTCCTCCTCAGCCCCTGCTATGACCGCAGTGTGACACGAGGTGCCCCGACAGGTTAAAAACAAGGCCCCAGATTAGTGGCATATAATGTGGGAACGGGGCGTTTCTTGTTTTCTGGGAGTTCAAGTGCTCTGGACGCTGCCACAGCACACAGGGATAGGAGGAGGCCAGACGGGACCACAGCCCTCTCCCAAGCCATCCCGTGCCGGAGACTGCCAGCTGCCTCTCACATCCACGCGATGCCGGCACTGCCAGGCCTGGAGCCAGGAGAGAGGCAGGTGGGGCGGAAAGCTGGGCAGGGACCTGCTAGGTCAGGTCTGTTTCTTCCCTTCCGTGTGGCTCCTGCCCAGCCTGCCCTAAGGCCTCTGTCCAGCAGCCCAGGGTGTTCATGGAGGTAACCTGTAGCAGGTCCTAAAGAACGTCTGTGCTTGCTCCTGCCGTTGTTCCACGCACCTCCTGCCGAACTGCCGGGCCTCCGCCAGTCTCTGCAGCTCCTGGGGCAGCGGGCCCTGGAAGCAGCTCCTCCACCGGCTGCGAAGGTCGGGCTCCAGGCGTGGCCACCACAACTTCCAGAAGAGAAAGATCACCGGTCAGCAGATCAGGGGAGGCTCTACTTGGACGCCTTTTCAGTCCCTACACCCGAGTGACCAGCGAGGATGTGCCTGACACCAGCAGCACAGCTCACAGTCACCGAGTGCCTCCGACCTTTTAGGACGGCCTCATGTTCTCCATCCCAGGTTCAAGGCAGTTCTGCGAGCGAGCTCGTCCTCCTCTGTGGAGGACGCCCACGTCCGCACTTGAGTTGGTGTTGTACACACATGGTAACTTTCGCATTGAATTCCACCCACACGAGCCACAGACTGTGTGTGAAGCCAAACCACTCGGTCCCAAGGCTGCCAGGAGAGCTGTGTGGGGTCAGGACTCCAGGAAAGCCAGCGAAGAATGCCGCCCCCAACCAGGAACCCCACACCCACGTGAGGGCCAGGCTGGCAGGGGACTGGGCCACCTCTCAAGTCTCGAGATGACCGTCTGTCAAGACAATGGTCGGAGCCCAAGTCGGGGAGCTCAGGAAATTAGGGTTCACCTCCAGCCAACACAGAACCAGAGCAAAGCAACACCCGACAGGTTCCCAGCAGGTGCAGGCAGGGAAGCCGTCATCCTCCATGCCCAAAGGTCCGCTTTACTCCCTATTTCTCCTCATGCATTTGCTCCTGAATGACAAGAATCAGGATGCCGCCCTAGGCCCCCAGTCCCTGTGCCGGCCCTGGGCACAGCCCGAGAAGGTGGCTGCACCTACCAGAGCAGAGGTCAGGACTATGGGGCACTCAGTCTGGCAAGTGCTCAGGACCAGGTCTGCGGTCAGGGTGGGGTTTCTGCTTTGTGAACAGGCATTGAAGAGCCCCTGCAGGAGAGAACATGCCAGAAGTCAGTGGTCTGCACGTGTGCCCCGCCCCAGAAAGGCACCAGGGCCTCAAAGCGCCACTGGCCATGAGGATCCAGCCCAAGAGGTCTCAGCGGGAGATCTGGTAGGCACAGAGGGCAACAGAATTACCCTGAAGAAGTGGACGGTGATGTCGTGGGTCAGGGCACTTCCGTGAGAGCAGAAGTTTCTCTGCAAAAGAGCACGGGCCAGTGAGCGAGCACCCAAGGGGGCCGGTGGCGGGGGTGGGGGCAGCGGTGCGGAGAGGCTTCGGCTGTGCTCACAGCGCCACTGCTGACCTCGGAGGCCCGGCTTTGGGTCCGCCTGCGAGGCTGCCCAGCATCTCAGCGTGTCACTGCCTAGCCACGTGGAGACGGCCCGGCCTGCCCGCTTCGGCCCCAGCGCAGGCCAGGAGGCCAGTGCTATACTCCCTGCCGGCCCTGTCGCTGGGGTGGCACCTGGCCTCCCCACCTCCGGCTTCTCATTCCGCTGGCCTTCACAGGCCCTTCGGACAACTTCAAGGGAAACTTCCTTTGCTAAGGACCTAAGGAACACCTAGTCTCACCTCCCCTGCTTTCTGAGTCACCTTTTAAAGCTCTGTGTCACTGAATGGAAACTTAGTTCAATTTTTTGTTCTATCTGCGCGTTTTTAAAAGCTAGAAAACATCTTCAGGAGTGGAAGTTGTTCTGAGATCTGTAGAAGGTGCTTATTCCTGGTGACCTCCCTGACCCTGACTGGACGCATGCAGGCTTTAGTCTTTCTGGGTGAGATCTAGGAGCACCTGACACGGAAGAGCGTGTACAACGGCAGGAAGCAGGGCCGACTGGTGGCAACGGCGGTCCTTTCGGCACCACTGGCCTTTGTGTACCTGAAATGTCCATACTGGAAAGAAACCGAGGTGCTTGGTCTGCAAGACTTTTCGGATCTTGACGGCGGAACTTGCAGCAAAGCTCTAGGAAGGCACTGAAGCTTCCCAGGAGCCGAAGCTGGTCTCTACGACTCGCTGGCCCCCGTTCTAGCTGTGGGGGGAGGGCTGGGCACACATCAGCCCCGACTGTCTCGGCTTCCAGAGCGGTACCCCCATTCTTGCCCACAGCAATCCCACGTGGGCTGCACACACTGAAGCAGTTGGCTCCAAGTGACCGCAGCCACATTCACGAATCTTCCAAGAACCAGATCACCCCCCAGTCCCTGCAACCCAAGGTTGCTTGCCCGCACCTACCAGCTCAGAGTTGACCAACCAGAAGAACTCCGTGCAGTCAGGGGCGGCTGGCTGTTTGGCCTGGGGGCTGCCGACGAGAACGGATGGGGGCAGACGGAGCAGGATCCTTGCAGGGAAGAGTGTGTCAGCGGTGACGGCACAGCCCCCTAACTTCACTCCTTGAGAGCTCAGGCTCGGATCGGTAACAGCCCTGCCTACTCGCTCTGGGAACCAGAGTCCCCCTCTGGGGCTGTGCTGAGCACCTGGGCCCTGCGGGGTCCACGGCCAGCATTCACGTCTGAACCCCAAGAGCCATTCTTAAGTGGCACGAGAGCCAAGTGAAAGGAAGCACCACAGTCTTCACAAAGCCCTTCCCGAGAACTGGGGGATTATGTGATATCCCACTCATAAATACAGCTACCGTGAGCATCTGTACGCACACATGGTTTTCCCTATTTTGATATGCATTATTTGGGCTTCATCGTTCAAAGCAGCTCCTGGGTCTGAAGGGGAAGGCTTTAATCCAAAGCTTCAGACCCTGCTCTCTCCATGGGAGCCCCAATGAGAAAATGCTGTTGCAGGCTGGGGGCAGGGCCCAGAAACAAATGACCAAGAGAAGAGAAAACTCAGTGGAAAGACAGACTCTCTATGTGATGCGCCGTGTTACCATTTGTACACAAGTAGCTCCCGCTGTCTCTGAAGGCAGGAGGCCACATCCCAGCCGCCTGCCAGAGCCTGGAGCCGGGTGCGGAACACTCTGAAAAGGAAGTGCCCCTGCGAAGGACGGCAGCTCTGGGACGCCGCTGGGCCCTGTTCCAGGTCAGCAGCCATCTCCTGCAAAAACAAGACCAGAACGTTTTTACCTTTATCGCTGGTTCCAGGTGACTGTGCCCAAATGTGAAGGCACAGAGTTCTCAGGGCCGTAGGCCCCAGTCAGGACTGTGAAACGGGGCTGAGTGGGCTCGAGAGAGGTCTCTCCAGAGGAGCTAGGAATGAGTGGGACAAGCCTTTTTACTTGAAAATCATTGAAAATTTGCAAAAACAATAAGAACAGTACAGTGAACACCTTTACCAGACTCTCCTAGGGCTAACATCATACTGTTTATCGTTCGCTCCTGTACTGTGAACGCACAGGTGTCGCGTGTACACACCAGGCTCCGTACCACACTCAGTACAAAGCCTGCTACCTGACATCATACATGTGTGTGCAGTGTTGCCACACGTCCACAAGCGGAGACCAAATAAGCCAAGCGCCCACATCGCAGCACTGTCTGTGCCACGTGTGACCTAAGCTCCATGACACACTCCATTTTCCCTCCCCACTCCCTCTTCCTACCACAAGCCCGTCAAGCCAGATGTGGAGGATAAGAGGTCAAGAAGAAAGCTTGGAGGGCTGGGATCTCTGCTTTGCGGGATATTTTATTCATTTGTGGGTAAAATTTCCCAGTGTCCAGGCCACCTGCTCCATGGTTTCTGTCCCTCCCAGTTTCTCAATTCAAGCACTTAAAGAGCAGCAGAAAGCACCCACACGAAGCGTGAAATCCACCACAGGATCCTGTCAACACGGAGCCATACACGGACTTCCAAAGGCAGACTGCCAGTGCACACCGTGGACGTGGAGAGCAGAGGGGGCTGTGGTTTGCACTTTGATCCCAGAGCCTAATCTCTGGGTCCAACTTTTTATCATCCTGACATGCCCCAGGCCTGAGGCAAACTGCACTTTTTACTTCAAAACAAGGGCCCCATTTCCACACCCTCCAATGTACAGCTGCTTTGGTGAAAAGAGCCCCCCAGCCTGGGGTGGTCCCGGGTGACCCCGTGAAAGGGCAGTCTCTCAGCTGCTCCTTCGCCTGCTGGGGGTTTTTATGTCCTTTCTCAGAGCCCGACATTCAAATGGAGGAGTTAGGAGTGGACAGCAACCCCTTTACTACCAAAGTTGGTATCTTCTCAGTTTCCTCTATTTTCAAATTTTAAACGTTCCTAAGCGTGCAGACGGTTCTGACACCACTGATTTTGTTTCTGTATTTTTGGGATATTCCCGGGTGAAGCGAGTACACAGTCGCTCTGGGTCTGATCCGTTATACGTGTGACATCAGTTTTCATTCTGCTGGGTTGCCTTAAGACATTCATAATAAATATCTTAATAGCAGATGACCGTGAAATGACAGCAGATGACAGATGCAGTGAAACACACTGAGTTTTCATCTTTTAACTCACCTGCAATCTGGAAAAAACATCTCGATTTCCTGTGCAGCTACCGAGAACCAAATCAGAATTCTCTGAGCAGTTGTAACTCCTCAAACTGAAACAAAAACATGATAAAAGCCTTCTAAGGGTCTCCTGATGTACAGGCTTTCTGACTTCTCCTTCTACTTCCAGAGGCCTGTGGTCACAGGGCCAGGAGGTCCCAGGGGACCACATGACACCCACAGTCATCAACAACAAACAACAAACCTACAACAAAATACTAGCAACCCCAATCTAGTGACATCTAAAAACAATTATGTGCCATAACCAAGTGGGATTTATCCTAAGAATGGGAGGTTGGTTCAACACCCTGAAATCCTATCAGTAGAATAAAGAAAAACCATGTGAACATCTCTATGGACACAGATAAAACATTAGACAAAATTCAATTCCCTTTCATGGTAAAAACACTCAACAAACTAGCAGCAGAAAGGAACTTCTTCAACCTGATGAAGGCCATCTATGAAAAAGCACAGCTCATGTTGTTCTTAATGATGAGAGCTTTCTTCCTAAAATCAGAAGTAAGACAAAGTTCTCTTTCATCGCTTACATTCAATACCACTGGAAGTTCTAGCTGGGACAGTTCAGCCAGAAAAAGAAATGAAAGGCAACCAGATTGGAAAGGAAAAAGTTAAACCATCTCCATTCACAGATGATCTGTCCTTGTATACAGAGCATCTTAAAGAATTTGCAGTAAAAAACTATTAAAGCAAATAATTTCACAAAGTTGTAGGACAGGTGATCAATATACAAAAATCAATTGTATTTCTTTATACCCATGAATAATCCAAGAATAGAATTAAGATAATTCCATCTACAGTGGTGTTAGAATACCTAAGGATAAATTTAACCAAGGAGGTGCAAGACTTGTACGATGAAAACTCGAAAATGTTGAGAAAATTATAGAAGACCTAAATAGATCGAAAGATATCCCATGTTCCTGGACAGGAAGAATCAGTGTCGTTAAAATGATAATAACTACCTATAATTACATACAGATACAATGCAATCCCTATCAGAATCCCAGCTGGTTATACTGAAACCGGCAAACTGATCTGGAAATTCAGATGGAATTACAAAGAACGATCGCTTCTTGGCCTTTTGGCTAAGATCATGTGTGGAATTACAGAGGACCCAGAATTCCCAAAATAATCTTTGGGGGAAAAAAAAGGAAGTTGGAAGATCCACATTTCCCAATTTAAAACTTCCTACAAATCTACAGTAATTAATACATTGTGATATCGGCATAAGAATAAATGTATACATCAGAAATAAAATTATTAAAACAAACAAACAAAAAAACCCAGTGTATACACCAAAGTCAATAGAGAGTCCAGAAATAAACTTTCATAGGTGTGGTTAACTGATTCTCAGGAAGGGTGCCAAGACCACTGAATGGGGAAGGACAGTGTCTTTAACAAAACCTGCTGGGACAACTGGATGTCCATATGCAAAAAACTAACGGTGGATCCTTAACTTATTCCATAAAAATTAAATCAAATGGATCAAAGACCTAAAATAAGAGCTAAAACTAAAAATAATCTGGACTTCATCAATTTAACACTTCTGTGCATCAAAGGACTCCCATCAAGGGAAGGAGTGAAAAGATGACCTCCTAGAATGAGAGACAACATCTGCATCTCGCATCGGATAAGGATCTGGTATCCAGAATACATAAAGAACTTTTAAAATGGGCAAGATGTGATGTTTCTCAAAGAAGATACACAAACTCAACAAGCAAATGGAAAGATGCTCAATATCATTAACCAGCAGAGAAAAGCAAATAAAAACCCTAATGAAATATACCGCTGCGTACCCATTAGAACAGCTGTTATCAAAAGATAACATTAACTGTGTTGATGATAACGTGGGGAAACCGGAACCCTCTGATACTGTTGGTGGGAATGTAAAATGGTACAGTTTTGGAAAAAAGTCTGGTAGTTCCTAAAAAAAGTTAAGATATGACATAGCAGATTGGTCAATCACAGACCTGTACCCCTGAAACAAATAATACATTATATATTAATTTTTAAAAATACCAATTGAAAGGGGAAAAGAAGATATGACTGAGCAATCCCATGTAAAGGCACATGCCCAAGAAAAATGAAAACAGGAGCACAGAGAAGTCTGTACACAAACGTTTGTAACAGAATGATTCATAGTCCGTAAGTGAAAAACCAAATGTCCGTCAACTAATGAATAAACAAAATGTGATCCATCCTTCAATGGAATACTGTCCAGTAATTAAAAAACAAAACAAAACGAAGTTCGGACACATGCCGTAATGTAGACTAACCTTGAAGACATTATCCTGAGTGAGCTAGACACAAAGGACCTCCATTTGTGTGGAATGTCTAGGATTGACAAATGCATAGACAGAAAGCAGATTCCAGAGTTGACGGCACGGAAGGAATGCACAGTCACTGCGTTCACTGTGCACACGTCCTCGTTCCTCCCTCCTAAGAGAGAAATGAGGACAAGAGGACTGGCCCCAACCTGAGTTTGCCTGGTACTGCAGGGGCTGCTCCCCGCCACTAAGCACCACTAGGAACATTCCCAGCACTGTTGCAACGTAACGTGACTTGTAAGAGTTTTGCTAACTAGGCGATGTGTTTACAGATCCTTGTGGGGAAGGGAGAGGCCGTGGGAAACATAAAGGCAACTGTCCTTCCTTGTGTCTTCAGTAATCATTTCCATGGACCGTGTTTCTGAGAGGGTAACAAGATTCGTTTTCTATGATTTAATATGATACACCACCTAAAATGTGGAAGATGGAATTCACAATCATGAGGACAGAGACTAACAGAGACCAGCTCAGCAGGAAGGCAACCCCAGCTCAGCCTGCACGTTCCAGGGAACCCTGCCCTGTGGCAGCCAGCCCACGCCCCGCAGGTGGTGATGCTTGCCACCTGCTAGCCTACTCATTCTAACCCTTATGCTTAGTGACCCAGGTGCCAGGTGCCAGAGCAGAAAGACAAGTCATTGCCACTGGCAAACCTACACACAAAGAAAATGGATTCGGAAAACTCACCTTCACTTCAAACAGACTCAGACTTGCCATCAGGATATGTTCAACTGTGTTTTGTAGAACACAATGTAGACCGAGAGAAAGAAAAACGCGTTCTTAGAACTACCAAAATTAAAAGTGTGATGATTTTGGCATCAGCATTCCTCACCTGTGGCAGAAGTCTATCAGCACATCGACAAGAACCGAGCACGCGGTCTGCAGCTCCCCATCACAACCCCCCGCGGCAGACGGCGCGGGGAGGAAGTGCTCACGGATCGCCCACTGCTGGAAGTCCCACCTGCAACAGCAAACACCATCTGCGTGGAGAAAGGCTGCAAACTAGAGCTTCCTGTGGCCGAAAAGCGAGCCCAGAGCCGGGGCCCAACAACGGCAGGGGGTTAGATCTGAGGGACTGGGGCTACGGGAAGGCCCCCTACCACAGTCAAGACCCCTCATTATCCCAGGGTCTGCCAGCAAAGGTGTCCGGATCTGGACCAGGTTCTGCCGGTGCGCACAGAAAAGGTCCCGAGGACCTTTTTTCAGTACCGACTGAAAGCCTCAGCCAGGGAACCACTGACCGTCCATTTCTGCAGAATGAGTGGAACCCAAGTAAGACGTTTCCATAGACCCACGAATGGGCAAGGAACCAGTGAGAAATGTACCTGTGCTACTTGTAGAATTGAAAAAGGAAAGGCCGAAGCACAGCTCCAACACAGTGTCTGGGGGTGAGAAATGCTTACCATGGGTCCTCACGCTAGACAACGTATTGCTTCTTTTCCTAGCAAGATAGAGGAGGAGGAGGGAAGGGAGGGGAGACCCCAGGACAGACGAACCCATGCACAAAGCACTCAGGTGGCTGGGCACAGACCTGAGCAGCAAGCGGACCTCCGCCTTGTGGGAAAAGCAGTTATTCTTGGCACAGTTCTGACCTTATCTCTACTCGCTCCTCCTAGAAGCTGACACCAGGAGACAGCAACCCCTGCACGTGACCCGTCTGACCACAAAGGGACGGTGGCTCAGGGTGGCTCACGCTGAACCCTGCCCTTGGCTGGCCCCCGGGCGCTCCTGTGCCCACCAACTCCACTATAGCCCCAGCACGTTTCCCTCCCTGATCGCAGGACCCCCACACCCAGGGGCTTGTTGGCACCCCACTCTCACACTCACAACAGCACATTTCTCCTCCCTGTGGTCTGCAGAGTTGGCCCTGGGACCTACAGGAACTCAGACCTTGGTTTCCCTGATCCTCCTGCCACACGCTCAGGGCCGGCGCTGCTGGCAGTGCCGACCAGCCCTCTGCCGGCCATCATGTTCGTCCCACGGGCGAGGCGGATGCCGGCCGGCCGGCAGAGAACACACCCCAGCCCCTGCAGCAGGGCCCCGGACAACCAGGACTCCACTGCGGCTCCTCACTGCTCGGCCTTCCCTGCTCCGCTCCCACCCAGCGGAAGCACATTTGCTGCCACTGCCATGCCCTCCCCGGGACCCATTCTCAGAGCCTTGTCTGGGGTCCCGATGCATTTTAGCGGTCTGTGTGCTTGACCCCAGGCCCACTCGGGGTACGCGTGTGTGCAGCTGCTGGCAGGAGTGCCCACTCTGGGCTGTCAGGGCAGAAGTGCACTGCCTTGTGCCCCTGTCTGCATGAAGGTGCCCTAAGGGCAGGCCTGTCTCGTCACAATGCACCCCATGTTCAAGAACATTCTAGAAGTACCTGACAAACAGGAGGAACTCAGTAAATGTTTCTTGAAGGAACAAATGAATGAAACTGTGCTTGTCAGTTAACGTTAACTGAACGTTGAGGATATGAGAAAACTCAGACTTTTAAGATAATGCAGAAAATCTTACAGCATTTTGAAAGGCAGATCCCCTACCCCCTTTTAAAGACTGTATTTATTTGAGAGTGCACACGGTGGTGGGGAGGGCAGGGCAGAGGGAGAAGCAGACTCCACACTGAGTAGGCAGCCTGACCCGGCTTGGTCCCAGGACCTCAAGATCATGACCTGAGCTGAAATAAAGAGTCAGATGTCTCATCGACTGAGCCCCCCACGGCACCGCAAGGCAGATGCCTTTCAACACTTACCTTTCCATATCTGAAAGAAAATCAAGCTCGGGTTGGATTTCCAGCTCCAGCCGTAACCAGTCTCTGTAAGTCAACTGAGAGAAAAGGACGACGTGAACACCACAGTGCGGACAGGACGCAGAAACCACAGGTCAGCTTGGTGACACTCTACTGTCCCCGAGGCACGACTGGGAGCCTCACGCGAAGGCAGCTGTGTGCCTCCACTGGTCTCTGTCCTCTCGCCGTTCCTGGCGGTCAGCCTAAGGCTCTGACCCTGAGCCCTTGACGAAGAACTCAGATATTGCTTCGTTTACCTCTGAACGGGAGGCTCACGACAGCCACTCAAACTCGTCCTCTGAGATGGAATTCTCCAGCACACTGCCTGGTTTGGAACAGTTAACCTGGGACATCTGCACCGTGCTCAGTTCCTGCACAGCACCACCGCCACGACCGCAGTTGTGAGTGGGGCAAAGTCACCACAGCACAACACTCCCGGTAGCACAGGTGTCCCTCTGGAATTCTTGCAACGATTCCACGCATGAACGTGGGCTAATCTCAAAACCTCACACTGTGTGTAAAAGTGCACCCTCCAGGGGCCCTGGGTGGCTCAGTGGGTTAAGCCTCTGCCTTCGGCTCAGGTCATGATCTCAGGGTCCTGGGATCGAGTCCCGCATCGGGCTCTCTGCTCAGCGGGGAGCCTGCTTCCTCCTCTCTCTCTCTCTCTCTCTCTGCCTGCCTCTCTGCCTACTTGTGATCTCTGTCTGTCAAATAAATAAATAAAATCTTAAAAAAAAAAAAAAAAAAAGCACACTCCAGAAATGCGCGCGCAGCACACTCCCTGTCAGGACCAGAGCCAGCGATACAGAGTAGCTCCCTGCTCAGGGACACACGCACATGCCCACATCCACGATCACCCGAGAGCAGAGGGGCGGCGGCCCTCGGAGACACCGGCTACGCTGCCCACGGGCAGTGAGTGCTCCCAGTGCATTGCTTGTGCTAAACACACGCTGTCACACGTGCTCTGGTAAAAGAACTGGATAAACAATTGAGAGTTTCCTCTCTAAAGACCGAAATAAGCAAACACGCAAGGAACAAATGAAAGGTTACGAACGGGCAGCAGACCAGTAACGTAGCCTGTTGGCCGGAGCAGGCCGAGGCCCCCCGTGACCACGCTCAGATCAGGCCCAGTCCAAATCGGGGCCTGGCAGCTACGCTCCAAGGAGAGGTTTATTCACCCTACGACCTTCTGCAAAGCGTCAGTGCCAGGGGAGTGGGCAGAGTAGAAATGACCTTTCAGCCTTACTTCTTACGAGGCCATGGGACTCGGCGGTAACACCCAGCGCTTTCCAGCAAAGCTGCCTCTGTGCTGCTTCAGCTTCGGGCTGGCCCACCATGTCCTCAGGACACCCCAAATCTATCCGCAAAACCCCGTGCACTAGGACGAGGTGAGAAGCAGGAAAAGGGCAGCAGGACCTACGTGAACTTCCTTCTCCTTCAACAGTTCTTGGAAGGTTCTCTGTTTCCACAGACAGAGGGCGACTCGCCGCCAGTCTGCGGACGGCAGGCACAGGAGCCTCCAGGGAAGGCCGGCTGCGTCCTCCTGACACGGGGGTTCTCGGGCTTCGGAGAACAGCCTGAAGAGAATGAACTGGAACTGAAGAGACACAGTAAAGCTGTTGTGCGCCCACGGCCGGGCAGCTCGGAGACCCCGTGGACACGCGAGTGGCCTTGCCAACGCCTCCCGGGGCACTCTGGGCTCCGTGGTTCAGCTACGGATGTCATTTCGGTGACCAGCCCCGTCTGTACATGTAGGCGCACGTCTGTCGGTGTCCTGGGGGCAACACCTGGAGGCAGGATTGCAGGTTCTAAACTGTCCCCCACACGGCGGGGCGGCGGCGACCCCGCAGCTAGCGAGGGCGCTCTCCCCAGCCCGCTGCTGGCACTGGTGTTTCCACTGAAAGAGGATGCCGAGTGGAGAAGCGCCAGACTGTCTGGGAGTACACTTATGTCTGCCGCTGGGAGATCGGACTTTTCTTGATGTTCACTGAACTACAGGCTGCTCGAGGTGACCAGGGCAGGGATAGGGACGCCCCTCAGAATCACACAAGGTTGGACCAGGAACTTCCTTGTCTGGGCCACCTCCTAATCTCTGTTGCAGGCTTCAAAACGCAGGCACCCGAGCCTAAGTTCCTCAACACCAATGACAGGAGCACAAGTGTGCCCAGACCCCACTTAACCCATGGGCAGGACCAGGGTTTCTCAATGGATTCTCATGTGACGCCTGGAACCGAGATCTGCATTTCAACTTCATAAGATGTTCCTTAAAACTCCACCAAACGGGCGCCTGGGTGGCTCAGTGGGTTAAGCCGCTGCCTTCAGCTCAGGTCATGATCTCAGGGTCCTGGGATCGAGTCCCGCGTCGGGCTCTCTGCTCAGCGGGGAGCCTGCTTCCCTCTCTCTCTCTCTCTCTCTCTCTCTCTCTGCCTGCCTCTCTGTCTACTTGTGATATCTCTCTGTCGAATAAATAAAAAAAATCTTTAAAAAAAAAAAAAAAAAAAAAAAAAAAACTCCACCAAAGGAGTCACGCTGGTTTCCATTCTAACTTCAAGTTCACTTTTGCCACCGAAGGTTTCTAGTACACATCTTTAAATTTCTCTGCTTTTGGGATGCCTGGGTGGCTCAGTCAGTTAAGCATCCAACTCTTGATTTTGACTCAGGTCATGACCTTAGGGTTAGAGATCGAGTCCCACATCAGGCTGTGTGCTCAGTGCAGTCTGCTTGAGATTCTCTCTCTCCCTCTGCCCCCCCACACCCACCCTGTGCTCACCTCCCTCTAGAATAAATAAATTCTCTAAGTTTCTCTGGTCTTGTAATAAATACAACAAGCATTCAATAGATGAGGGAGGTCTTTTGAGAAAATCAGAACTCTTGTTTAAATACAAAGATACCTTCCACAAATATTTATCTTTTAGTATACCTATTTCACAAAAATCAGTGTCTGTTTCTTTTTAAAAAAGGAGGGACGGGGCGCCTGGGTGGCTCAGTAGGTTAAGCCTCTGCCTTCGACTCAGGTCATGATTCCAGGGTCCTGGGATTGAGCCCCACATCGGGCTCTCTGCTCAGCAAGGAGCCTGCTTCCTCCTCTTTCTCTCTCTGCCTGCCTCTGCCTGCTTGTGATCTTTCTCTGTCAAATAAATAAATAAAATCTTTAAGGAAAAAAGAAAAGGAGGGACATTCATGGTCTTTGTCATCTTACTTGCCCCCTTTCATCTTAAGTCTGCGAGCAAAAGAGAAAGGCCGTGTTCAGCCCCAGGAGACAGGTGAGGCAGCCCCCAGGACACAGTCTGATGCACAAGAGAGCACAACTGTGCAGAGAGGGGGTGGGGAGAGAGCAGAGAGCTGGGCCTTCACTAGAAACCTGCACGAAACTGGAGCTGCACCAAATGCAGAAGAGGATGTGGACAGACCTACCTTTTTCAGGAGGGCTGGAGATAAGCAGCTGTACAAAGTATCTTGCGACACAGAAGGAGACTTACACAAAGAGTAAGAAATTGCCGCTGTACAAAATCTGAAAATAGAAAACATAAAATGTACAAATGTGCTGCATGCAAAATAAGGAAATATAACAGTAGTGTGAATTTCACAAAACTGAACTGACTGCATTCTAAACCAGATGTCCCAAGGGGCAGTCTTGGTCTCGGTTCGGGGCCAGGCTGGCTCCCCTGAGCCCTCGGGAACCGGGCCCCATTACACCTGTAGGTCTGAGCTCTGTCTACGCAGAAGGCCCAGACCCAGAAAACACAGCAACGGTCAGGCTGTTCAAGTACAGGCTTGCCTTTACGGCATGTAGAGAGTCATGGCGGGACAAAAGCCATCAAGTCAGATGGGGCTAACGGTGCTGCTGACCTGTCATCTGAAAGGGTTTCCGCTCACCCAGTCACTGTTCCTTCCTGCAGGAAGTCTGTGGAACCAGACAGAAGCAGGCCCAATTTTAAGCTCGGCCTACGGTGGAGACTTTGCCTGCCTGTGTTGGGTTATCAAGTGTTGGGAGGAAGAGCCCAATGAGAAGAGACTGACCCCGGGGTCGAGGGGAAGGGAGGAAGGTGCTGAGGAAGGAAGGGGGACCAGGGCACCTTCACGAATGACTGCTGGGGGGGGGGGACTCTCAGTGTTGCCCAAAGCCCCTCAGAGGCAGACGGCTCTGCCTCCCGCTGGGGAGGGCTCAGGGCTTCATGGCAGCCATTCCAGCACAGGTCTCTCCCCGCTCTAATCCCTGATGTCTTCTGTCAGTTCTGTCCATGGACCGCAGTCCCAGGACCAGCAAAGAACTCTCACTGGAGCTTCCTGGCTTCTTCCCTGACCCTCCATCTGCTCACCCTGGGACCAAGTCCAGCCTCCCAGGGCCCCATCCCTGCCCTCCCTGGGGGGGCAGCCGCTCTCACCTTCACCAGCCCACCTCTCCCCAGCACCGCCCCCCACACACAAGGGCGGGGATGCGCTTCCACCCCAGGTCCTGGAATGCATCTGGCCCACAGTGGCTTTTGAAGGAACCGTGGAGGTATATGCTAGCACCAACTTCTAGAATGACGGGTCTCGAAACCCTTTCAGATGACCTTCTTAGGACTGAACAACTCCGGGTGCAGGAACTCACCCCAAGGTAATAACTACTTGCCAAGGGGAAGCCCAGCAACCCAGCCAGAAGGATGGGTCCAACTGGATACCAGGCACCCCCAAGACAAAACCCAGTAATGCTCGCCTCAACCCAAAGATGGCTTGATGACACAGGAAGGGATCTACAGTCTATCGCTGATGTCTTAAAAGGCAGTTTACAAACATGATCTCATGTTTGTAAACAAGGAAATACACACGGAAATACAATAGAAGACTCGGGAAAGACAGGTACTAAACGTTAAAGGGTGACTATCTATGGAGCGTGTCTGTTTTGGCCAGTTTTATCTGATGAGAATGTGCTCCTCTCTGGAGAGCGGAGAGGCGGTCAGGGTTAGGGAGCGGAGGGGCGGGAGGAGCAGCTCACTTCAGGCAGAAGAGTGAGGTCTCCGCGGTTCCAAACGGCAGAAGGCTACTGAAGAACTCTGGGACAGGGAGGCTCTCGGCGGGGGCAGGAAGGGCCACGTGCACGTCTGGGAGCGCAGACCTGGACTCGCTCAGGTGCACGACCAGGGCAGCCAAGCCCAGCACGTGGGAGGCACTCAGGCTTGGGCCCTGAAACGGGAGACGGTGTTTCTCCAGGAAGGAGGGCAGAGCCCACATCCCAGAAAGAGGGAGGCAGCGGCCCTACCTGGTGACGGAGCAGCTGGCAGAGCCGGGTGAGCATGACAGGGAGGAGCCTGCGTCCACACACAGTTGTCACGAAGCGCGCAGCCCAGGGACCCTGCCTGCAGAGACAGCCCCGAGACCAGCAGTCTGGCCAGTCCTGGCCCTGCACGGCCCTCCCATGGAGTCTGCCGTGTGAGCCGTCACACACAGGAGGCCCGAAAAATAACTGGGCTGTTCCCCAAACAGCGGGCTCCCCTGCGGTGCTGCTCACCCTCCGCCCTGTCTCCACCCGAGCAAAGTCAGCACGGCCCCGCCACCCCACCTGGGACCCCCAACCAGGACAGAAGGCAGAAGGCAGGACCCAGGGTGAGAGCCAGACTAGGGACGGACAGCCACGCTCCTCGTCCTCATCACGGAAGACAGGGAGAAGCTCACTGCACTGGGGAGACCCGCTCTCAGCCCCCCGCCGCTGTGCGCAGCCCCACACCGCCCCGGGAAAAGCACCAGCCTCTACCTGTCTGCTGGTGTGAAGCTGGAGGCCGCCATCAGGTTCTGACAGAAAGATGTCAACAGGAGGTCCGCGACCTGACAGAGACAGAGAGACGGTCACTGAGGGACAGAGTCCTGGAGAGAGCCGGAGCCCGACGGACTGCTGACGCTTTGGACACGGCAAAGCAGGTGCACATCTGCGGAGGAAATGCTCACGCTGACCGGCGGCCGAACCCCATTCCCGAATCCCAATGGATGGCAGCGTAGGTGGCCCACAGTCCCGTCCCTGAGATGGTGCAACAGGGAACGGTGTCCGCACACTCGTCTCTACAGGCCCAGAGGGTCAAGAGTTTTAGTCTTTGGGGCCGCAAACACCATCTGCTGCGTGTTCTGCAGAAATTTAAAAGGAGTCTGTACACGCAGGGGTGGGGGTGGGCTGACCCTGGGCGGCGCAGGCCCACCTCCCCACGCCTTGTTTCCCCAAACCGGCCCACTCGACAGCCCAGCGCCCACAGCCCGCACTCACCTCCTGTTCCCGCGCCTCCAGGTGTGGAGCCCGAAGGCTGAGCTGGACCCGAGAGCGCCCCAGGCTGCTGTCCTCCTCACCCGGGCCCAGGACGGAGCTGAGCCGCTCGGAGACCCGTGCCAGGTGAGCAGAAAGAACTGCAGACGAAGGCCACGGTGAGAGGAGCCAGACAGCCACGGACACCCAGCCACGCCTGCACTTGGCGCATGTCCCCCAAGAAGCGGGGCAGACTGCGACACGAGACGGGCACAAGATGCGACAGAGCGGGGCCGGGGCTGCACACTGCCTTTCGCCCGGTTCTCGGAGGGGTCCACGTGCTCCTTCGCCATCAGAGACCTCCACTTTGCACGCACACTCGCGAGTCCCCCTCACGCGGTTACACCTGCTGAGGCTCTGCATCCCGCCGCCAGCCTCCAGGCGCGAGGCAGGGAAACCAACGGGCCACCGGGCCTGCTGGAACCGGCAAGTGTGCGGCTAGAAACAAGGCTGACTGGACCTGTCGGGATCCTGCTGAAGCCCGGGGGTCCCGCCCCGGCCTCCACGTGTCCCTACTTCATGGGAGTGCAGCTCCTAAAGGCCACACACCCAGGGCGCTGGGTGCCACCGCGAGTGGGGACGCTAAGCTGGCGTTGGGAATACTTCCTCTGGGAGGCTCTGACTGAACATTCTGTCCTCGTTTGAATACAATGGTTTACGATCTATAAAAACTTACTATACTTCCTGGGTAAAAATATGGTTTATTTTAGATTCTGCATTTTTCCCAACAAAAATCGCTTCGATGAGACATCAACATTTGATTTCATGGACTGCCACTCTGTAGTGTGAACCGGTCACATTCTTCCTCCACAAGCGAACATCTGCGCCTCGCCACTTTCTAGGACCTCATCGCACAGAAGCAGAGGCCTAGCGCTTAGTGGCCCTGCTTGTCAGTCCCTTCAGAAAAATACCCCAGAGCCTCGGAATGCCAGTTTTCTCCCTCCCCATCCTCTGTCCTGCCGGACTGTCCAATGGCAGAGTGGTCGTCCCTGCTAAGGGTCTATGACAGCCTGAACGAGAGCCGAGCCCTGGCCAGCAGCCACCAGCGCCGCACTCAGGCTGAACCGAACGCAGGCCCCGGAGGACACCCACGCCGCCCGCGAAAACCCGCCGCAGACAGCCCCGCCCTCGGCCAGGTCCTCACCATCACCCTGCGCGGGGTCTGCCACGGCAGCTCGGAACTCTCTGAGCGCAGCCGCAAGCAGTCCCAGAGGCTCCTCCACGCAGCTGGCGTCCGCCGTCTTCCCTGGGGCTGCACCTGGGAGACGACAGGACATACAGCCCTGGACGCAGCTCGTCGGTGAGAAGGGCAGACAGAGGCGCCAGACGAGGGGAGGCGCTGCTGGGCACTGATCATTGGATCAGAAATTTGTTCATAAATGTTTAACTTAAGAAAAAACACGGTTTATGCACAACATGCCATAAAGATTAAAATGTAAAGAAAAAGGACCAGAAGCAGAGTGCGGGAGTCTGGGTGGGGACATAGGATTGTGGATGAGTGACAATTTATTCCATTTCTCCGAATTTTAAGTAACATTGTCATACTGTTTTTTATGACAGGATATTAAAAAAAGAATAAGATGTAAAGAAAAAAGCTAAGGGGGCGCCTGGGTGGCTCAGTGGGTTAAGCCTCTGCCTTCAGCTCGGGTCATGGTCTCAGGGTCCTGGGATCGAGCCCCACATCGGGCTCTCTGCTCAGCGGGGAGCCTGCTTCTCTCTCTCTCTCTCTGCCTGCCTCTCTGCCTGCTTGTGATCTCTGTCAAATAAATAAAATCTTAAAAAAAAAAAAAAGAACAAAGCTAAGAATTAGTATATATAAGATGATTACTAGCTCTCAACATATATTGCATAAATTTATGAAAAAAAGATCTGATCACATATTTGTAAAAGAAAAATGTTCCTTTTTTTTTTTTTTTAAACACATAATGTCTTGCTTCAGGGGTACAGGTCTGTGATTCATCAATTCAACACAATTCACAGCACTCACCATAGCACATATGGTCCACCTCCAGTGTCCATCCCCCAGTTGCCCCACCCCTCCCACCCCCTCCACTCCAGCAACCCTCAGTTTGTTTCCTGAGATTAAGAGTCTCTTATGGTTTGTCTCCCTCTGGCTTCATCTTTCTTCATTTTCTCTAGATTCCCCTGTGATCCTCTGCCTTGTTTCTCAAATTTCACACATCCATGAGATCAGATCGTATGGTAATTGTCTTTCTCTGATTCACTTATTTTGCTTAACATAACAGCCTCTGGTTCCATTCACATCATTGCAAAAGGCAAGATCTCAATTTTTGATGGTTGCATAATGTTCCATTGTATATACATACACCACATCTTTATCCACTCATCTGTCAATGGACATCTGGGCTCTTTCTGTAGTCTGGCTATTGTGGACATTGCTCTTATATACACTGGGATGCAGGTGACCCCTCAGATCGCTACATTTGTATCTTTGAGGTAAATACCCAGTAGTGAGATTGCTGGGTTGGAAGGGAGCTCTATTTTTAAGTTTTCGAGAAACCTCCATGCTGTTTTCCAGAGTGGCTGCACCAGCTGGCATTCCCACCAACAGCGCGGGAGGGTCTCCCTTTCTCAGCGTCCTCGCCAGCATCTGTCGTTTCCTGACTTGTTAATTGTAGCCATTCTGACTGGTGTGAGGTGGCGTCCCACTGTATTCCCCTGATGCCGAGTGATGCTGAGCCCATTTTCGTGTGTCTGTTGGCCATTTACATGTCTTTGCAGAAATGTCTGTTCATGTCCTCTGCCCATTTCTTCATTGGATTATTTGTTCCTTGGGTGTTGAGTTTGGTTGAGTTCTTTATAGATTTTGGATAATAACCCTTCATCTGATATGTCATTTGCAAAAATCTTCTCCCATTCTGTTGGTTTTTTGGTTTTGTTGACGTTTCTTTTGCTGTGGAAAAGCTTTTTATCTTTTTTTTTTTTTAAGATTTTATTTATTTATTTGAGAGAGAGATCACAGGTAGGCAAAGAAGCAGGCTCCCCGTTGAGCAGAGAGCCCGATGCGGAGCTTGATTTCAGGACTCTGGGATCACGACCCAAGCCGAAGGCAGAGCCTTTAACCCACTGAGCCACCCAGGAGCCCCATGGAAAGCTTTTTATCTTGACGAAATCCCAATCGTTCATTTTTGCCCTTGCTTCCCTTGCATCTGGCGATGTTTCTAGCAAGAATTTGCTACAGCTGAGGTCAAAGAGGTTGAGGCCTGCGTTCCCCTCAAGGATTTTGATGGATTCCTGGCTCACATTTAGCCATTTTGAGTTTGTCTTTGTGTGTGGTGTAAGGAAACAGTCCAGTGTCATTTTTCTGCATGTGGCTGTCCCAATTTTCCGAACACCATATATTGAAGAAACTATCTTTCTTCTATTGGACATTCTTTCCTGCTTTGTCAAAGATTAGTTGACCACAGAGTTGAGGGTCTATATCTGAGCTCTCTACTCTAGTCCATCGATCTATGTGTCTGTTTTTGTGCCAGTACCATGCTGTCTTGACGATCAAAGCTTTCTAGTGTATTCAAGTTAGGCATGGCGATGTCCACAGCTCTGGTTTCTGTTGTTGACATTCATCTGGCTATTCGGGATCCTTCCTGGTTCTGTATAAATTTTAGGATTATTTGTTCCCTTTCTGTGAAAGAAGGTGATGGTATTTTGATAGGGACTGCACTAAATGTGTAGAACTGCTCTAGGTGGCATAGACATTTTTAAAATATTTGTTCTTCCAATCCATGACCATGGAACTATCTTCCATTTCTGTGTGTCTTCCTCAATTTCTCTCAAGAATGCTCTATACTTTTCTGAGTAGTGATTCTTTGACTCTCTGGTTAGATTTATTCCTAGGTAATCTTATGGGATTAGGTACAACTGTAAATGGGATTGACTCCTTAATTTCTCTTTCTTCTGTCTAGCTGTTGGTGTATAGAAATGCAACTGATCGGGGCCTGTGGGTGGCTCAGTGGGTTAAGCCTCTGCCTTCGGCTTGGGTCATGATCCCAGGGTCCTGGGATTGAGCCCCGCATCAGGCTCTGTGCTCAGCGGGGAGCATGCTTGCCCTCCTGTCTCTCTGCCTACTTGTGATCTCTGTCAAATAAATAAATAAAATCTTAAAAAGAAAGAAAGAAAGAAATGCAACTGATTTCTGTACATTGATTTTATATCCAGTCACTTTACTGAATTCCTGTATGAGTTCTAGCAGTTTTGGAGTGGAGTCTTTTGGGTTTCCCATATAAAGCATCTCATCTGCAAAAAGATAGAGTTTGACTTCTTCTTTGCTGATTCAGATGCCTTTTATTTCTTCTTCTTGTCTGGTTGCTGAGGCTAGGACTTGCAGTGGTCATAGTCAGTATCCCTGCTTTGTTCCTGACCTCAGGGGAAAAGCTCTGTTTTTCATACATCAAAGAATGATATTCACTGTGGGTTTTTCATAGATGGCTTTGATGATATTGAGGAATGTACCCTCTATCCCTAGACTATAAAGAGTTTTGATCAAGAAAGGATGCTGTACTTTGTCAAACACATTTTCTGCGTCTATTAAGAGGATCATATGGTTCTTGTTCTCTTTTATTAATGTGTTGTATCACATTGATTAGTTTGTGGATGTTGAACCAACCTTGCAGTCCTGGGATAAATCCCACTTGGTCATGGTGAATAATCCTTTTAATGTACTGTTGGATCCTACTGACTAGTATTTTCATGAGAATTTTTGCATCTATGTTCAACAAGGAATTGGTCTGTAATTCTCCTTTCTGATGGGGCCTTTGTCTGATTTGGGGATCAAGGTAATGCTGTCTTCATAAAATGAGTTTAAAGGTTTTCCTTCCATTTCTATTTTTTGGAAGTCTCAGAAGAATAGGTATTAATTCTTCTTTAAATGTTTGGTATAATTCCCCTGGGAAGCCGTCTGGCCCTGGGCTCTGGTTTGTTGGGAGATTTTTGATGACTACTTCAATTTCCTTGCTGGTTATGGTTCTGTTCAGGTGTTCTATTTCTTCCTGTTTCTAGTTTTGGAAGTTTATACATCTCTAGGAATGTATCCATTTCTTCCAGATTACCTGATTTTTTGGCATATACTTGTTCATAATATGTACTTATAATTGTTTTTTTAAAAGATTTTATTTATTTATTTGACACAGAGAGACAGAAAGAGAGGGAATACAAGCAGGGGGAGCGGGAGAGGGAGAAACAGGCTTCCCGCTGAGCAGGAAGTCCAATGCGGGGCTCGATCCCAGGATCATGACCTGAACTGAAGACAGATGCTTAACTGAGCCACCCAGGCGCTCCTATAATCGTCTGTATTTCTTTGGTGTTGGTTGTGATCTCTCCTCTTTCATTCATGATTTTATCTGGGTCCTTTCTCTCTTCTTTTGTTTAAGTCTGGCCAGAGGGTTATCAATCTTATTCTTTCAAAGGAAAAGATCCTACTTTCATCAATCTGTTCCATTCTTTTAGTTTCTACTGCATTAACTTCAGCTCCAATCTTTATTATTTCTCTTCTCCTGCTGGGTTTAGGCTTTCTTTGCTCTTTCTCCACCTCCTTTAGGTATAAAGTTAGGTTGTGCATTTGAGACCTTTCTTGTTTCCTGAGAAAGGTTTGTACTGCTATATACTTTCCTCTTAGGAGCGCCTTTGCTGCACCCCAAATATTTTGAACAGTTATGTTTTCATTTTCATTTGTTTCCATGAACTTTGTTCATTCTTCAATTTCCTGTTGACGATTCATTGTTTAGTAGGATGCTCTTTAGCCTCCATGTATTTGAGTTCTTTCCAACTTCCTGCTTGTGATTGAGTTCGAGTGTCAAAGTATTGTGGTCTGAGAATATGCAGGGAGTGATCCCAATCTTTAGGTACCGGTTGAGATCTGACTTGTGACCCACAATGTGATCTATTCTGGAGAATAGATCCATGTGCACTAGAGAAGAATGTGTATTTTGTTGCTTTGGGATGGAATTTTTTGCATATATCTGTGATGTCCATCTGGTCCAGTGTGTCATTCAAAGTCCTTATTTGTTGATCTTTTGCTTAGATGAATGATCTGTCCACATCAGTGAGGGGGGTGTTAAAGTCCCCTACTATTATTGTATTATTGTCAATGTGTTTGATTTTGTTATTTTTTAAAGATTTTATTTATTTATTTGACAGAGAAAGAGATCACAAGTAGGCAGAGAGGCAGGCAGAGAGAGAGGGGGAAGCAGGCTCCCCGCTGAGCAGAGAGCCCGATGTGGGGCTCAATCCCAGGACCCTGAGACCGTGACCTGAGCCGAGGGCAGAGGTTTAACCCACTGAACTACCCAGGCGCCCCTGATTTTGTTATTAATTGGCTTATATAATTGGCTGCTCCCATGTTAGGGGCATAAATATTTACAACTGTTAGATCTTCTTGTTGGATATACCATTTAAGTATGGTCGAGTGTCCTTCCTCATCTCTTATTATAGTCTTTGGTTTAAAATCTAAATTGTTGGATATACAGATCGCCACTCCAGCTTTCTTTTACTGTTCATTAGCATGGCAATTGGTTTTCCACCTCCTCACTTCAAATCCGGAGGTCTCTTTGGGTCTAAAATGAGTCTCTTGCAGGCAGCATATAGATGGGTGTTACGTTTTTATACAATCTGATACCCTGTGTCTTTTGATTAGGATATTTAGTCCATTTACGTTCAGGGGAACTAGTGAAAGATATGAATTTAGTGCACTGTATTGCCTGTAAGATGACCGCTGCTGTATATTGTCTCTGGTTTTTTTCTTAGTCTATATTACTTTTAGGCTCTCTCTCTGCTTAGAAGACCCCTTTCAAAATTTCTTGTAGGGCTGTTTTGGTGTTCACAAATTCTTTTAGTTTTTGTTTGTCCTGGAAGCTTTTTGTCTCTCCTTCTATTTTCAATGACAGTCTACCTGGATATAGTATTCTTGGCTGCATATTTTTCCCATTTAGTGCCCTGAATATGTCATGCCAGTACTTTCTGGAGTGTCAGGTCTCTGTGGATAGGTCTGCTGCCAATTTAATGTTTCTTCTATTGTAGGTTACAGTCAGTCCTCTTCTTCTGAGCTGCTTTTAGGATTTTCTCTTTGTCTCTGACACTTGTTAATTTTACTATTAGATGATGAGGTGTTAACCAATTTTTATTGATTTTGGGGGGGTTCTATGTGCCTCTTAGATTTTGATATGTTTTCTTCCCCAAATTAGGTTAGTTCTCCACTATAATTTGCTCCAATATACCTTTTGCCCCCTCTTTCTTTATTCTTCTTCTGGGATGCCAATTATTCTAGTATTACTTCATTTTATGATATCACTTGTCTCTTGAATTCTCCTCTCATGATCTAATAGTTGTTTATCTCTTTCTCAGCTTCTTTATTCTCTATTACTTGGTCTTCTAGATCACTAATTCTCTCTTCTGCCTCATTTATCTGAGCAGTTAGAGCCTCCACTTTTTATTACACCTCATTAACAAACTTTTTGATTTTAATGACCTTTTTGATTTTGACTTGGTTAGATTTTATTTCTCCAGAAAGGGATTTTCTCGTATTTTCTATGCTTTTTTTCAAGCCCAGCTAGTATCTTTATAACTGCTATTCTGAACTCTTAGTTTCATCATCTTACTAATGTCCGTGCTGATCAGGTCCCTGGCAGTCGGTACTGCCTCTTGTTCTTTTTTTTGAGGTGAGTATTTCCATTTCATCATTTTGTCCAGAGAACTAGAAGAACAAGAAAACAAAATGCTGAAAGGGTAGCAACGACTCCAGAAAAACAAATCAGAGGAGATGTGAAACTTCCAGAAAGGGGTCGCTTTTCAGTTCATAGAAGTGCTGCTATTCTTTTCTTCGATCTTCTGTTGAGTTCATAGGTGTTCAGAATGGTTTAATAACTCAGTAGCTGAATTCCTGGGACCAGACGAAATGTAGGTCTCCTACTCCACCACCATCTTGCTAGCTCTTCAAGAAAAATGTTTCGAGGGACACCGGAGTGGCTCAGTTGGTTAAGCGTCTGCCTTTGTTTGGCTCAGGTCATGATCTCAGGGCCCTGGGGTCCAGCCCCACATCCAGCTCACTGCTTAGCGGGAAGCCTACTTATACCTCTCCCTCTGCCCGTCCCCCTGCTCGTGCTCTAGTGCTTTGTCAAATAAATAAAACCTTAAAAAAAAAAAAAAAAAAAAGGAATGCACACTACGTATGTTTTAAAAGCAGAATAAGTTTCAGTTCTGGGGTCACCAGAGAAGACAAGGGATAAACGCAGTGAGCCTCACAAGGTAAACACTAGGACAAAACCAGAAATCATAAGGCTTCTTTTATAAGCCCTGCCAGATAAAGTATAGTGAATATTCTTGAGGCCCCCAAGGCAGGGCCAGGGGGCTGCGTAGTAGGGAGGAGCTGCCTCTCACACACGGGACACAGCCCTACAGCCTCGCTGGTACCCCCAGCACAGAGGTGAGCTGTTTCAATACTGGTGCAAACAAGTGTGAGACCTGGGACTTTCATTCTTTGCCCTCTCAAGTTCTTCAGTCTCCGTGGCTGTGAGAAATCATCCAAGTGTGTAAGAGGAAGGGTTTGGGGAGACAGAACTAGAAAACACAGCCTCATTCAGCCGAGCTGACCCGGCAGAGGTCAGAGGATTTAAACCATGTGACAGTGCTGAGGAACCAGGCCCTCCTGATCGGCCTCCCACCATCGCCCAGTTAGTGGAGACCATGGGGTGGGTAGGAATCTGCCAGCAAGGCTGCCCAGTGGCTTCCAGCACTGCTGCCGCAAGCAGGCTGTTGCAGATCAGACCCAGGCCTGTAGCCCTCAACCTCGTGAGCCGAGCGAGCTCCAACTCAAGAGAAAAGCCTCGGCCGACCCAATAAGCAGACCCCCCAGTCATATCCCACTTCAAAGAATCAACACTGCGGGCCCCAAGCCTGGCTGCCTCGTCTGACAGGTCACCCAAATCCAGATAAGCAAGCAGAAGGTGCATCACAGCCTCACGCAGCACAACAGGGAGGTGCCCCAGGAGGGAACTTGCCAAGGCCTCCAGGCTGGGACCTGACAAGTAGGGTAGGTCTGTCCTGACTGAGCCAGACCGGCACTGGCCAAGGTCTTGCCCGCATACCTTGTGACCAGGGAGGCAGAAAGGTGCCCGTCTCAGGGACAGAGCCATTAACCTTACTTTCTGGCTTCTTCTCTCTGGCAGTGGAGCAGGCTTGGCAATAGGTGGAGTACAGAGACAGGGGAATTTTATCTGCCCTGGATCAGGAGAAAACATGAAAACCCAAGTCAACCATGACTCAAATTAGCTCTCAAGCTCACAATTCCAAAAATTACCACAGAACAAAAATACATGATATAATCTATTACCCATACCTTATAGTATGACCCTGTTTTTAGAAAAAAAAAGAAACTGGGGCGCCTGGGTGGCTCAGAGGTTAAAGCCTCTGCCTTCGGCTCAGGTCATGATCCCAGGGTCCTGGGATCGAGCCCCGCATTGGGCTCTCTGCTCCGTGGGGAGCCTGCTTCCCTTCCTCTCTCTCTCTGCCTGCCTTCCTGCCTACTTGTGATCTCTCCCTCTGTCAAATAAATAAATAAAATTTAAAAAAAAGAAAAAAAAAAAAAAAGAAACCATTACATCAATCAAATTGTCCTGTTTCATAATGTGTCATATAAAAATATCTGCCATTGGGGTTTTAGGGTAGTGAGATTATAAATAATTTTTACTTCTCTCATTAAAGTTTGGGTAATTTCCTAATTTTTAAAATGAATTTATGACTTTTAATGAGTAATATGGAGAAAAACATCCAATTAATGTCATTAAAAATACACAGAATTATAGAACAAAGTCCTATGACAAAGATGTTCAGAGGAGCAGGAGCCACAGAGTGGCAGCCCAGGTACGGGACACAGGCAGTGGTATGGCCTACAGGACACAGCGTCTCAGAATGAACAGTGAGGCAGAAGGGCAGCCCTCCCCAGAGTGCTGCAAACCCAGATGATGAACCAGAGAAAGGAGGGAGATGGATGGGTCCTAGAGCAGGAGTCCCCTCGCAGGCCGCATCCAGGCAGAGGACGGCCCGCGCCTGAGGAACACACCACGCACCTGGGGACCGGAAAGCCATGAGCTTCAGGATTAGAAACCAATGCGAAGAAAAAGAAAAGAGCAAATCTGAGGAAATGCAGAAACCCACAGAAAAGGACATTTCAGACACCACTCATCCTCAAAGAGCTAAGACAGTAACAGAAAGGTCGGGCAGGTAAACTGGAAGAAATCCTACTAAAAAGAGAGAAAATTACACCCCAAAAAACAGACACGCAAAACGAACAAGTCAGAAGACAATCGGGCACCCAGTGCCTGAGAAGTGTGAGCCACAAGGAGCCACGTGGGGAATAAGCTACTGACGTCATCTGGCCTGGGGTTTGCTTCCAAACAGCCCAGAGCAGCGGGGGCATGTGAGCGTGACATAAACACTATTCTATTTTCTGTCTTAAATTTCTCATAACAGAAGATTTTAAAGTATCTGAGAAAATTTCTTATACTGAAAGACATGAATTTCCAGATTAAAAGGCCCACCTTCTGCTCAGCCAAGAAATGAAAGTAGACCTAAATACCAAAATGCACAGCCGTTAAATTTCAGAACACAGGGAAGAAAAAGGCACAGGAAGTCTCCGGAGAAAAACACAGGTCACGTGCAAAGAATCAGAAACATACCAGCTCAACGTCAGCACTAGAAGCCAGACTTCAACCGAGCAATACTTTAAAAAATTTTAGGAAAAGTATTTCCGACCCAGATTTCTATACCTCACCAAACTACCTACCAAATATGAGGGTTAAATAAGCTGCCCGCCCCCAAAAAAAATAAAAGAAAGGAAGAAAGAAAAAAAGAAAATAAATGTAAAGATAAATATCAAAATTCAGTTAAGAGAGGCGCCTGGGTGGCTCCTGGTCTCTGCCTCTGCCTTCAGCTCAGGTTGTGATCCCCAGGCCCTGGGATCGAGTCCCACATCGGGATCTCTGCTCAGCGGGGAGCCTGCTTCCTCCTCTCTCTCTGCCTGCTTCTCTGCCTACTTGTGATCTCTGTCTGTCAAATAAATAAATAAAATCTTCAAAAAAAAAAAATTCAGTTAAGAGTTGAAAATGCTTAGGGCACCTGGGTAGCTTGGTGGCTTAAGCCATTGCCCTCGGCTCAGGTCATGATCTCGGGGTCCTGGGATCGAGCCCTGCATCAGGCTCTCTGCTCAGCGGGGAGCCCGCTTCCCCCTCCCTCTCTGCCTGCCTCTGCCCACTTGTGATCTCTCTCTCTCTCTCAAACAAATAAATAAAATCTTTAAAAAAAAAAAAAAGTTGAAAATGCTTGCCTCCAGAGAAAAAGAAATGGCAGGGAGGGGTGGGGGGGATGGTTGTTTCTCCTAATAAACTTTATAAAACTGAAACTTAACTCTATATCCTTATTTGACTTTGACAAAAACATTTTTTTTAAGATTTTATTTATTTGAGAGAGAAAGAATGCAAGGGAGAGCATGAGTTGGGGGGAGGGGTGAGCATGAGTGGGGGTGGAGAGTACGGGGGGTGGGGAGTAGGGGGGGTGGGGAGAGAGACTCCCCACTGAGCAGGGAGCCCGATGCAGGGTTCGATCCCAGGATCCTGAGATTATGATCTAAGCCAAAGGCAGATGCTTCACTGACTGAGCCACCCAGGGGCCTCCAAAAACAATTTTTTAAAACCTAGAAATAGGGGCATCTGGGTGGCTCAGTGGGTTGAGCCTCTGCCTTAGGCTCAGGTCATGATTCCAGGGTCCTGGGATCAAGTCCCGTGTCAGGCTCCTTGCTCAGCAGGGAGCCTGCTTCTCTCTCCGCTGGTGTGTGCATGCTCTCTCTCTCTCTGACAAATAAATAAAATCTTTAAAAAAAATTAACATTAAGATATACCTATATTAAAACACAAGAAAGACTATAAAACACTGAGTTAAACAACCAGTTTCAGAACCTATAAAAAGAACAAAAGAGTAAACTTGAGGAAATACGGAGAAGGCAATAGTAAAGTTAAAATCTAAAAGCAATAATACAGAAGATAAAAAATACATCAGCGGTATGATAAGACCAAAATAATACCAAAAAAAACCAAAAAAGTAGTTATGCAGTAAAATTAACACAACAGACAAATCTTTAACAAGAGAGAGTCATGAAGGGCAAAATTAACAACAGGAATTACAAAAAAATCACGGGGCGAGGGCAGGGGGCGCCTGGATTGCTCAGTCAGTCAAACATTCAACTCTTGAACTCGGCTAAGGTCTTGATCTCAGGGTTTTGAATTCAAGTCCCACGGTGGGCATGGAGCCTACTTAAAAAAATATATATAGGGCGCCTGGGTGGCTCAGTGGGTTAAGCCGCTGCCTTCGGCTCAGGTCATGATCTCAGGGTCCTGGGATGGAGTCCCTCATCGGGCTCTCTGCTCAGTGGGGAGCCTGCTTCCCTCTCTTTCTCTCTCTCTGCCTGCCTCTCCGTCTACTTGTGATCTCTCTCTGTCAAATAAATAAATAAATAAAATCTTAAAAAAAAAAATATATATATATACATGGTAATCAATGCTATGTCAGTAAATTTGAAAATTTAGATAAAATAGATGGTTTTCTAGAAACATACAACTAACTCAAGAATAAATAAAAAACCTGACTAGACCAACAAATATCCAAGAAACTGAAACAGTTGTCCAGAGCCTGCCTCTGAAATGGATTCCAGGAACAGAGGACTGTAGAGCCACGTTTGACCGAACTTAAAGGAACATAGAATCCCTGCGTTATACGGACTGTTTAGGACCCGGGAAAAAGGGAAGGCCACCCAATTCATTCCATGAGGTGCTAAAACCTTGATGTCAAAGCAGCCAACATGAGTAAAAACATGTGAGACACAGATGCAACAATCTTAAAGTATTACTAATTCGAATTCAACAGCCTCCACAATTAAAAATCATTACCAAGTAGGAAGTGATCCAGGAATGGGAGGACAGTGGAAAAATCAAAGTCGTCCGTCCTGCAGCGGATCACAGAACACCCAAACCATCTCCAGAGACACAAAAAAGCATTAATTCATGCTCAAAGTCCTAGCAAATTCACATAGAGGGAACTTTCTTAATATCATAAAAAGCATATGAAAATATAAGGAGACTACAGCAAATCAAGTATTGGTAAAACTGTAGAAGCATTCCTATTTGAGTCAGGAACAAGACAGTTTATTTCTACAGTTTCATATAATACTAAAAAGTCTACCCAACACAATAAGACAAAAATGAAGACGTATAAAGATCAAAAAGAAAAGACAAATTATTTTTATAGACAATGTGAGTATCTACAAAGAAAATCTACTACCTAGCTACTAAAAATAACTATGAAATAGGGGAGCACCTCCACCTCAGCAAAAACAAAAACAAAAACAAAAAAAAAGAAAGTAATGTGCTTTTCACAGCAATAAAATCTAAGTACCTAGTAGTATACTGAACACAAAATTTACAAGACAGAAAAATCTACAACTGAAAGGCTTAAAAAGATATATTATGTTCATAGAAGGAAAGTTATAACAAAGTCAACTATCCACAAATTAATCTATAAAATTAAGGAAATTCCACTAAAAATTCTGAGTTTCCATGGGGATACACAGAAGGATGTTTACTGAAGCACGACTAAAACATGACACTGGGGCGCCTTCAGCTCAGGTCACGGTCCCAGCGACCTGGGATCAAGCCCCATATCGGGCTCCCTGCTCAGCGGGAAGCCTGCTTCTCTCTCTCCCACTCCCCCTGCTTGTGTTCCCTCTTTCACTCTCTGTCATAAGTAAATAACATCTTTGAAAATAAATAAAACAAAACATGACATTGGAGTTCACCGAAGAGTTCTGTTAGAACGATGGATAAGTGAGTCAAGGTAGTTATTCTGTAGGCCATGGGTCCCTGGGATCGTGCAACGTAGCAGCTGTACCCCCAGAACAGAATTGAAAAAATTAAACAGAAAAAAGAGGTGTGGCTGGGTGGCTCATTCAGTTAAGCATCTGACTCTTGATTTTGGCTCAGGTCATGATCTCAGGGTCATGAGATCGAGCCCTGTGTCCTTCTCCCTCTGACCCTCCCCCACTACAAAAATAATAAAACAAAATAAAATAAAAATAGAAAAAAGATTATACATCAACTTCAGGATAATGGTTTCCTCAGGGAAAAGGAAAGCGCGTTAGGGAGCTGGACGGAGAAGGGTTTTTTGTTTTGTCCTTTTTTTTGAGAGAGAGAGAGGAGAAACACTGAGAGAGAGCTGAGCAGGGGGTGGGGAGAGGGCAGAGGAGGCTCCCTCGGCTCCCAGGCCCCGGAGAAGTGTTTCAACAGTGCCTGCACTGTTTTATTTTGAGCAGAAACAAAAAAAAGGAAAGGGAGCAAAGCATTAATGTGAGTGGGGGATATGGGTGCTTTTTACAATGGTCTCTGTACTTCTGGAATATTTTATGTAAAAAATAAATAAAAATAAGGATCCCAGAAAACAATTTTATTTTAAGATGAAAAAGTTTACTTTTACTTTCTAGGCTCTTTCTCTTTCCAACTCTTTTTTATTTATTTATTTTTTTTACATTTATTTGACAGAGATAGACCACAAGTAGGCAGAGAGGCAGGAGGAGAGAAAGGGGGAAGCAGGCTCCCCGCTGAGCAGAGAGCCCGATGCGGGGCTCGATCCCAGGACCCTGGAATCATGACCCGAGCCGAAGGCAGAGGCTTAACCCACTGAGCCACCCAGGTGCCCCTCTTTTCAACCTTCTTATGGGTATCATTATGTTCTAGGAGCTTCACTAGGAAGCAGGATTTACAGAAAGGACAAGTTTGGAAAGCCGGTCAAGTGTGAGCGAGGGGTCCGAGACTCCACGTTCCACTGGAGTCCCAGGTCTAGTCCAATCTGTTGTACGGCGAGGCTTCCGTGTCTCCCTGTTCCTTTCCTTCTTTGCTTAAATTCTCCTTTCACAATGATTATGGACCAATAACGTGACTATCTTAAATTCCCAGAAAGACAGTCCTAAAAGTTCATCGAGAAATGATATTCAGTTGTGATATTCAGAATTAAAGAAATATTCTTTTTAAAATCTTAATGAATGTTGAGGGCGCCTGGGGGGCTCAGTCAGTAAAGTGTCTGCCTTCTGCTCAGGTCATGATCCCAGGGTGCTGGGATCAAATCCCACACTGGGCTCCCTGCTCAGCGGGGAGCCTGCTTCCCCTCTCTCTCTGCCTGCCTCTCTGCCTGCTTGTGATCTCTGTCTGTCAAATAAATAAAATCTTTAAAAAGCAAATAAATAAATAAAATCTTCAGATATATAAAGTAAAATAAAATCTTAACAAATTTTAGGCCAATATTTTATAAATAAAACACATTTCTCTACAAAAGAACCACAATTTTTTCGCATTTGTCAAAAACCCTTCTGTCCTTGCGTACCTCCTCAGAGACTCTATCAAGGCCGTTCTGGAATCAGGGGTTCTTGGAAGCTGTGGGGGAAAATGGGATTCCAGTGAGACATTTGTTCTCTGCCAACTGGGCCCCAAGTCCATGACCACATGTACTGACCACACGAGGAGTGAGCAGGGCAGGGAGAAAGTGCGACACGTAGTAGGATCTCCTGAAGATGCTGTAACAGAGAAGGGCAGGTCCACAGGTGTCGGAGATGACCGAAGTGTTAGCGCGCCTTACTGACAGCCACAAAACACCCATTTCCACAGAATCTCGCTGCATTTCACAGGGTGACACAAGCGAGTTTTCCCGTCTCATGTCACGGCTGTATATTCTACCATTTTTTCTTTTTTTAAGATTTACTTATTTAGGGGCGCCTGGGTGGCTCAGCTGTTAAGTGTCCGCCTTCAGCTCAGGTCATGATCCCAGGGTCCTGGGATCGAGCCCCACATCGGGCTCTCTGCTCGGCAGGGGGCCTGCCTCTCCCTCTCCCTCTGCTCCTTCCCACTGCTTATTCTCTCTCTCTCTCAAATAAATACAATAATTAAACATAAAAATTAACAAACACACAAACCACCAAACCATGGACTCGTTCTCGTCCTACTTTGTGGGCTCTACTCAACCATACCCATTGGTTCTCCTCAAGAAAATGAGTTTCACAGCTAAGGCTCTGCGCCTCCTCACTATAGAACCTGTGCTGGGGCAACTATCCTCAGCCACCCAGCAACAGGCACCCTGTTACGAGTGGCTCTGAGAACAGATGGGACGATGCAGGAAGCAAGGCCCTACCTGGCCTCCATGACAGCGACAGGAATCTTTCCTGTGTGTTCGAACACCGTGATGGCCTTCTCCACATCCTGCTGTGCTCGGCTATCGGGCTGGCTCCGTACAGGGAGGGTGGGGAAAGGAACAGAAGATTTCAAAGAAAAGACATTGAGGGGCACCTGGGTGGCTCAGTGGGTTAAAGCCGCTGCCTTCAGCTCAGGTCATGATCCCAGGGTCCTGGGATCCAGCCCCGCATCGGGCTCTCTGCTCAGCAGGGAGCCTGCTTCCTCCTCTCTCTCCGCCTGCCTCTCTGCCTACTTGTGATCTCTCTCTGTCAAATAAATAAAATAAAATCTTAAAAAAAAAAACAAAAAACAAAAAACCAAGACATTGAGCAGGAAAGGGTGCCATCAGCCTACCCTTTGACACCATGACAACTCTGCCAATTCAAGGTCAATAGCCACAGGCTGGCTGCTGGCACAGCAAGGGACGTTGGGACAAACCAAGGCCAGCAAGACCACAGAAAGGGACTGACTGCTGTTTCACACTCTCGGGAAGCAAGCACCTAGCAACAGGCCCCCTCAGGGACCATTCACCACCTGAGACCCTCTGCCACCTTCTGACCCCTTTCGGGAGAATACAGGGTTCCAAAGAAAGACTCTGAAGTGGGAAGGGGAAGGGACTTAATTTTTCAGAGTTACCAAAATTATGAAACAACAACATATGAATAGCAATAAATCTTAGACACCTACGTTAAATACTTAAAACTATGGGGCACCGAGGCAGCTCAGTCAATGAAGTATCTGCCTTCCGCTCAGATCCCAAGGGTCCTGGGATGGAGTCCCACGTCGGGCTCTCTGCGCAGTGTGGAGTCTGCTCGTCCCTCTTCCCCCTCCCCCCCACTCATGCTCTCTTTCGATGTCTCTCTCAGATAAAATCTTAAATAAATAAATAAATAAATAAATAAACTACTTAAAAATATTCACCTAAAACTTTCATGGCAGCTATAAGGGTTGTCCGGCCACTCACATTTAAGTAAGAGAGTCTTTTATTTTGTTTGTTTTTTAAAGATTTCACTTATTTATTTATCAGAGAGAGAGAGAGAGAGAGAGAGAGAGAATGAGTAGGGGGAGGGGCAGAGGGAGAAGCAGACTCCCGGCTACACAGGGAGCCCAATGAGGGGCTCCATCCCAGGACCCTGGGATCATGACCTGAGCCGTAAGCAGACACTTCACTGACCAGTCACCCAGCTGTCCCTAAGTAAGTGAATCTCAAAATAACACACACACCAAACAGCCATTTGACATCTGCTTTATGTAAATACAGTGAACACTTTTTCCTGCAATTCTTAGAAACACAGATCTTCCTCCCACCCCGTTTTAAAGACCTCTTCAATGCAAACCCATGTGAATGAAGATCTGAAAGACAGACCGACCCCTCTGCACAGAGCAACTTACCCGCCCTCCAGCTACAGCTGCCAGGAAAGGCCCACGTGCTCCGCTCCCGAGTCCAGGAAGGACTGTACTGGGTGAGCACAGGCCAGAGGCCACAGGCGGCAGCAGAACCGAGGTGACCTTACCTCTATGATGTCCCTGGCTGAAGACAGATCCTCGTAGAGGCCCATGTTTTCCATTGAAACCTGCAGAGGGGACACAGCGGCAACATGAGGCCCAGGCCTCTGAAGAGACAGGCTGAGGAGCGGCCACTGTGGGGAGGGGAGGCCACCGCTCACCTTCAGGTCAGACAGGCGCGTCTTGGCCAGCGCGATGTAGTCCGTGAGGAGGGAGCGGTACTTGCTCGGCACCAGCGGTGGGTGGAGAATGTGTGCCTGCGGGTGGACGGCAGAGCAGAGCCCCACAGCCCATGAACGAGGGGTGACTTCCCGGGGCAGCAGCAACAGCTTGCCGCCACCGCCTGAACTCACACCAATGGCTGGAAACTCAGAGGATGAGTGAGCCATGGACTCTGGGGGGCTCCCGCCAGAGCTGGGACAGACAGAACCCCGGCTGAGGGTCTGTCTCTACATGCGGCTTTGGTCTCTCCTTCCCACGCTGGCCTGGCCAGGGAGAGCGTGCGGCGGGGTCCCTGCACAGAGCTGGCCCTCACCCTCCGCAGCCTGGCACTCCCCCCAGTCTCTCCCCTGCAGTACAAACACAGGGGTGCCCCAGCCCCAGGCAGACGAGGCGTTGAGCCCTCAAGGCAGCTGGGAGTCCTGAGCTTTCACCGGGTCATGGCACGTTCTATAGGATTCCTGGTCCCTTAGGTCACATGTATTCTTTGGAATGTCATGGAAATTTCTGAATTACAAGAAGAATTAAGAATCAGTTTCTAGTGCCCTACCCTTCAAACAATGCTGGGCAGAATTATCTGATTAAAAAGAAAGCTTGCAGGAAGGCATTTTTAATCAAGGAATTCATTCAGATTTGTTATTAAAAATGCAAACTCTAGGGGCACCTGGGTGGCTCAGTGGGTTAAGCCTCTGCCTTTGGCTCAGGTCACGATCTCAGGGTCCTGGGATCGAGCCCCACATCAGGCTCTCTGCTCAGCGGGGAGCCTGCGTCCCCCTCTTTCTCTGCCTGTCTCTCTGCCTACTTTTGATCTCTCTCTTTGTCAAATAAATATAATAAAAAAAAATTTTTAAATGCAAACTCTATCTGAGGGTGTAAGGTCTTCCACCTCTGGAAGCAATGGCCTTGTGCACTTTGGGGTATATTCTAGTTCTTCTTCAATAGAAAAATACATTATTTTATATGTTAACTAACTGGAATTTAAAAAAAAAACCTGAAACTACCTAAAAATAAATAAATAATGCATCATTCAAAAACCAAACAGGGGCCTGTAGCATTGCATCCGCGACAATGTACCCCCACCAAGCAGGTGCCTTCTGAGCCAGCACAGACCTCCCCGCCCTCGTGAGGGACTGTGTGCTGTCACCAACAGCCCCCCAGGGACAGATAAGGCGCCAGTCCCTGGGCATCTCAGTAGCACCCACGTGGTGCCCGTGGCGGAGAGCACAAGCACATCCCTGGTGGGGAGGCCCACGGCGGGGCCAGTGGGGGGACGCCCGGGAGTGTGGGCCACTGCTCACCTGCAGGTACCGGGGTGCCTCAAAGGGCACGAGGTCTGACAGGAACTTGAAGAGAAAGACCAGTGTCTTCTTGCTGCCGCTGTGGAACCCCCTCGTGTTCCCAAAGGAGGCCTGGAGGGAGAGGCGGGGTGAGGGCCAGGCAGCTGGCTCCATGAGGGGCCACACCACCCACGCAGGGACACGGCAGTAGCGACAGACACAGGCTCGGCTGCACCCAAAGGCAAACAGCCACGCAGGCCCCAGCAACCCCACCGTGCACAGCTCTGCCTGGTTGCGAAGACGGGCTGAACACTTACAGCAAAGATGAAAACCCCATTCCTCAGGGAACAGTAACTGCGCTCTCGGTGACCCTCAGAAGCACAGTGTATTTATTAGCTGCCCTGCCAAGGGCGTTTCCTCAGCAAATAAACACATTACACACCACGAAGCCACTTCTGAACCACGGTAACTCCCAGACTCTTCTGTGAGGACAAGGTCACTGCAAGGGAGGGGGCCAAGAAGGGCAGCCCCCGGCGCTCCTGAAAGTGCCCAGCTCACAAGTGCCAGCTCACAAGTGTCCAGCTCACAAAGACATAAGTGGGCCCTTGCAGGAACTGAGGGGCCCTGGGCATTCCAGAACAGACACCGGCCCTGAAGGGCCGTGAGGAGCCTCTGCCAAGAACCGAACACCCAGCTACACGAAGTCCTGCCGTGGCCCAGCTCACCACAACGCCACAGCCTCCGCCACTGTGGGTGGAGGCCTGCAGCACCTCCATCGAAACGCCAGATTTCGGTCAGAATTCTTCTGAACAGGAGAGTGGTGCAGACACAAGAAGCCAGCGGGTAAGGGGAAGATGGCGGTAGAGCAGGAGGACCCCAGCTCGCTTTGTCCCACAGACACAACTAGATAACTCAAATCATCCCAAATGCTCCAGAAAGCGACCTAAAGACTGACAGAACAAACTCCACAACATTATAAAACCAGGAGTCGACCACAAGAAAAAATCTGGACAAACCACAAACACATGGGAGTTTCCACATGCTACTAAAAACGAATGGGTCAACCAAGAAGTCAAAGAAAAAAAAAAGTATGTGGACACAAATGAAGATGGACACAAACAGTCCAAAACTTTTAGGATGTGGAAAAGCAGTTCTAAGAAAGAAGTTTATCGCAATTCAGGCCCCCTCATGAGGTGAGGAAAATCTCAAATACACGACCTAACCTTACACTTAAAGGACCTAGAAAAGGAACAAAACAAAACCTAAGACCAGCACAAGGAAGGAAATAATAAAGATGAAAGCAGAAATAATGCAGAAGCTAAAACAAAAAAAAAAAAGAAAAATAACAGATCAATGAAATCAGGAGCTGGTTCTTTGAAAAAAAGCTACAAAAACGAGGAATCTCTAGTCAGACTTATCAAGAATAAAAGGGAAAGGACTTCAATAAACAAAATCACAAATGAGAGGGAAGTAACAACCAATACCACAGAAATAGGGACAATTATAAGACATCATGACAAAAAACTATATGCCAACAAATTGGACAATCTGGAAGAAATGGATAAACACCTAGAAATATAAAACCTCCCAAAACTGAAACAGAAGAAATAGAAAACTTGGGCGCCTGGGTGGTCAGTCGGTTAAGCAACTGCCTTCTGCTAGGGTCGTGATCCCGGAGTTCCAGGATCTCCGAGTCTGCTTCTCCCTCTGACATTCTCTCCTCTCACGCACATGCTCGCTCTCTCTCAAATAAATAAATAAATAAAATATATTTTTTTAAAAAGAAGAAAAAGAAATAGAAAACTTGAACAGATCAATTCCCAGCAAAGAAATTCAGTCATTAATAAACTCCCAACAAACAGAATTCCAGGCCTGATGAATTCTACCATTTTTTTGTGTGTTTTTTTAGATTTATTTATTTGACAGAGAGAGACACAGCGAGAGAGGGAACACAAGCAGGAGTGAGAGAGGGAGAAGCAGGTGTCCCGCCGAACAAGGAGCCTGACACAGGACTCGATCCCAGGACCCTGGGACCATGACCTGAGCCGAAGGCAGACGCTCAATGACTGAGCCACCCAAGTACCCCAGCAATCCATAAATTTACTGTAAACCCTACCAAGATACCAAGAACATTCTTCACAGTAGAACAAACAATCCTAAAATTTCTATGGACAAAAGACCCCAAATAGCCAAAGCAACCTTGGGAGGAAAAAAAGAGCAAAGCTGGAGGCATCATAATTCTGGACTTCTGGTGATCATGGGGTGCCTGGCTGGCAGTCAGAGCACAGCACTCCTGATCTTGGGGTTGCAGCTTGAAGCCCCATGTTGGGTGCAGAAATTACTTAAAAATTAAAAAAATAATAATAATAAAACAAACTTTAGAAATCTTATAAAGTTGTAGTGATCAAGACATCATGTTACTTGCAAAAAACAGACACATAGATCAAAAGAACAGAACAGAAAACGCAGAAATGAACCCATCACTCTGGTCAAGTAATCCACAACGGAGAAGGAAAGATGATCCAACGGAGAAAAGACAGTTTCTTCAACAAATGGTGTTGGGAGAACCGGACAGCCGCATGCAGAATGACCCTGGTCCCCTTCCTTACACCACACACAAAACACATTCAAAATGGATTAAAGAGGGTGCCTGGGGGGGCTCAGTGGGTTAAGCCTCTGCCTTCGGCTCGGGTCATGATCCCAGGGTCCTGGGATCGAGCCCCACATCGGGCTCTCTGCTCGGCGGGGAGCCTGCTTCCCCCTCTCTCTGCCTGCCTCCTGCCTGCTTGTGATCTCTCGCTCTCTGTCAAATAAATAAATAAAATCTTAAAAAAAAATAAAAAATAAAATAAAAACTAAAAAAAAAAAAAAAGCCACCAGATGGAAAGAGGAGCACCCCCACATCACCATTCAGCTCCCACCAACGTACAAGGGGCACCACTTCCCTCCGTCTCATCTGTCTACACAAGGGTTAGGGACCCTTGGCAACATGCATCCCGTCAAGAATGAGCCTCAGGACACCCCGGAAACAGGACAAGAAACAGGCTGCCAGAGGAGAGCAGTGTCTGTGAAGTATTTACAGGAAGTATCAGAGGGGCAGACCCGTCCCCAGATGTGCGGCTACAGTGGCATATGCTGTCACTCCAGGAAAATGACAGTTACAAGGACACTGAGGTGAGCTGAGAACTGGGATTCAGGACCCCAAAGGGCTCAAATTCAAAGTCATCACGTTGGCCTTTTTACATTAACATTCTCAAAATAAAGATTAAAAGAGATCTTCAAACACTGAACATACACATAAACATCTGTCAAACTCACCCAACCTTTCACTTAAATTACATGCATTTTCTATAAACTGTATCTCAATAAAACTGAAAAGGTAGAAGTAAAAAGAAACCAATAACACCCACCATCAATGCAACATGTGCGAAGCATTCCCGTCCATATGTCGCCCAAAAACTCAGCAAATCCCAGGCCCAGAGACACCTGGTTGGACTGAATGACCTGGACGCAGGTCTTGGGGAAAGAAACCACATGCTGACACAGACCGGCTCTTAGGACCATCGAGGGAACCCTGGCTGAGGACATGGCCAGAGCCCCTGCGCGTCCAGCAGGAGCCCCTGGGCCAGCAGCTCTTGCTGGGAACACAGGGGTGAGGAGATGAGAGCAAACACCGTGCCTGCCCATCCTCCCCAACAGGTGGGCAGAGGCTGGGCCAAGGCAGCTTTGGCTGGTGCAGCTGCCCTCAGAGCTGGGGAGCATGGGCTCCCCACAAGCAGCCACCAGGCAGCCAGGCAGTGCGCCAGGCAAACCCGAAATATCTACAAGGACTCGGATGGCTCTCTACCCACCAGGTTGACGCTCTCCCAACCTTCAAAGTGGATGTGTGGATAGACGCCCCCACAGCAGCAGCCCCAGCAGGTCTGGGCACTGTGGCATGGACGGGGCGAGAAACCAGGGCAGCGTCCACTGAGGGGAGGGCCAACGAGGACACACATGGTGCAGACCCACCACAACTGTCTTCACGTTTTCCCGACAGCACCCCGACCTGGGGACCCGGACCGGCAGGCGCAGCGGCCACGAGGGGAGGACCAGCCCCTGGACAGGGCAGCATGGGGCCCCGGGGGAGGCGGGCCAAACAGACCTGACCACTGAACGCGCGTGAGTGTCCCTGTGACAGCGAGCCGGGGGCCCAGTCGCGAGCGCGTACCGCCAGAGGTGGGGGGCTCACCTGGAACCAGTCTGGGTAGGACGGGAACACGGAGGGGCCCTCCAGCGCAGCCTGACGTGCCACCAGGAACGCGGTGACCATGCTGTCCAGGTCGCAGTTCTCAAACGCACGGGCCAGCAGTCGGGCCACCCAGTCTAGGAGGGAAGGACCCACGAGAGAGGCAGACGAGGACTTGTGTGGTGCCACGGGCAGGACACGCTGGGTGGGAGCGTGTGCACGCCCAGTGCCAAGTGCAAGAGACTGGGTCATGAGGGCCCGGAGCAACCCAACACCAACGGCACGCGGCTGCATGGGAGGCAGATGGAGGGCATGGACGGGAAGACCCAGGGCGCCCTTTAATAGGGAGCAGAGCAGCGGGCAGCCACCTCCACCCACAGGCTCAGCCACCAACAGCGGGACCCACACACACACGCCGGGGCCTCCCAGCCAAGGGCACCTTTAATCAGTCGCTGCGACTCGGGCAGGCAGATCACCAGTGTAGACACACAGGAGAGCACGTGCCGCCAGTTCACCTCGTGTGTTTCTAGAACCTCCCGCAAGTGGCCAAGCAGCTCCTCGGGGCCCAGTATGGCGAAGAGCTGCAACAGAAGGTCCCCGGCTCGGCTGTGGAAACAAGCCGCTCCTTGGGCAGCCAGGCCTCACCCCCCCTTCCAGAGCCACGCCTGCCTCCACCCTCAGGGTCCCTGTGAGCAGCAACGGTCTCCTTTCAAGGAGAAGGTGTTCCGCCCATGTGACAAGTCCAGCCGCTGGGCCCCCAGGGGTCTAGGCAGGAGCAGCTGTGGTCTGCGGAGCCTGCCGGCCTCACCCTCCCTGGACGGGAGCCCCGGGGCCCTGTGGCCGCTGCTGCCAGCCCAGGAGCACGTCACCCACCCTGCGGTACAGACTGGTGAGCAGAGGGTGGGTCTTTGCGAAGCTCCACTCTCTCTGCATCCGAACAGCATCAGAAACTTCATTCAGGAGTAAAAACAGACAAAAATGTCAGTCATCACAAAAAGCTGCCTTAATCTGCATTTTTTCAATCATTAGCAATCATTTCTGTCCGTGAACCGGTTTCTGCCATCAGGGGTCTTCGGCCCAGCTCCTTGTCGCTAAGCCCTTGCCGTATCTGCTGTATTTTCTAACGCGTCAATTGTTGAACTTTGCTCTTTTCAACTCTAATGGTGGGTAAGCCATCAGCAAGGACGCCGCTGCAAGGGGGTCTGGCTGGAGCAGGCCACAGTGCACCATGGCGAGGGCCAGAAGTTTCCCTTGTGCTACCTGACGACCCTGCCTGGGGACACAGTGCCACACACAGAGTGAGCTCGGCGGGCACGCTGTTCATTTGTCTCCCCAGGAACCTGAGCACCTGCAAACACCATCACTGGACGGATGGTGACATCACCCCAAGGACACTCGTGGGCACATGACATGGCATCAACCACTCTGGAAAGAGCCTGTAACTACAGATGACCCCTTGAACAAGACGGACTTGATATGCGTGGGTCCACTCGCATGCTGCTTTTTCTTAATACGGTACAGTTGCCAATGTGTTCTCTTCCTTATCATGTCTGAACGTTACTTCCTTCGCTCCAACTTACTTTAATGTAAGAACACAGTACACAGCACATGTCACATACAAAATATGTATTAATCAAGTGGTTTTCACCAGGAAGGTTGTTAGTACTCGTGTCTGGGAAAGTCTAAAGCTAGGGATGTCTGAGTGGCTCAGTGGGTTAAGCCTCTGCCTTTGGCTCAGGTCATGATCCCAGGGTCCTAGGATCGAGTCCCACATTGGGCTCCTTGTCCAGCAGGGAGCCTGCTTCTCTCTCTGCCTGCTTGTGCTCTCTCCGACAAATAAATAAATTAAATAAATTTTTAAAAAAAGCTATACGCAGATTTTCAACTGCACAGGGTCAGGGTCCCTAACCCCCACATCAGTGCTTATATTATAGAGGATTTATCATAGAAGAATCTAGAAATCCACTCTGATAACTAGATACTCATCTACTGAGAAAAGACAAGAAAGGTTTCACGTTAAATGTACTTCTATTTCGATGATGACACAGGTGACAGTTCTCCTTCCCATACTTTGTTAGTTCTGAATTTTCTTTACGAAAATTTGTAACTTTCAAATTAAAGGATATTTGACACTCACGTGCCCGCGAGTCTTAAGCAATCTCAGCGCTAACATTCAGGGCCCACGCTCCCATGAGGGAGGCAAACAAGGGGGGTCCAGGAACCCACCTCTCAGCACAGGCTTGTGCGTTAGCACCTGAGTCAGAGTATGACTGAAAAATCTCTTTGGCACGTCTGCTGAAATCGTTCCGCCATACATGTGTCCACAGAACACGCCAAACCTGCCAACATAGCAGCGAGAGGTCCCTGCAGGGCCGACAACATCACACCCACACCCCAGCAAGAGCTCATCAAAGGCCACTGTCCAGCAAGGTCACATGCACCCCGAAGCCCCCAGCCCCAAGTTCAGGGGGCACACAGGCTGGCCCTTCCCATAACCCTGAAGCACTCGCCAGCCAGACCACTGTGCCACAAACGTGAAAAGAAGTCCAAGGGCATCGGGGGCGGGTGGGGGGCACCTCTGTCGGTGAAGCATCTGTCTTCGGCTCAGGTCATGATCTCGGGGTCCTAGGATTGAGCCCCACATCGGCCTCCCAACTCAGCGGGGAGCCTGCTGCTCCCTCTCCTCCCATCCTGTGCTCTCCCTATCTATCTCTCTCTCTCTCTCTCTCTTTCTGATAAATAAATAAATAAAACAAAAGAAGTCCAGAGAAGGGCGGGTTCCATAAGAAAGAAGCCACCCATGAAGTAGGACACCTGGAAAGGGAAGGCTTTCCCTTTGGAAACATGCCAACCTCACAAAGCCTCAGTGTGCCCATCTGTGAAATGGGGATAACGGGCAGCAGGGCAATAGCCAGGCTGGCGCAAAGCACCTGGCACCCACAGGCACTCAGATGCAGTAACGGTTCCTGAAGCCAAGGACCTCCTGTGCCAGCACAGGGAGGAAGGACAGCGGGCAGGACATCACTGATGCGGCAGGAGGACAAAGGCTCTCGGGGCTGCCTGACAGTGGGGCCCTGAGGGCACTTCAGTGAGCCAGGGTCAGAGTCACTGAAGCTCTTCCCAGTTCCCCAGGGAGAAGAGCTCCCGTCACAGGAGTCAGGGGGAGACACTGGGCACGAAGGGCAGCCATGGGCTCTGCTGGCCTTCCGGGTAGACAAAACCATGACGCAAGTCCCATGTACCAGGAAGCCTTGCCATCCAGACCAGGGTGGGGTGGGGGCAGTGTCTGGTTTTATTGTAAAGATTGGCAACTAAATAAGAAACTTAAAAAGAGGATTGCCTGGGGGCTTAGTCGGTTAGGCGTCCAACTCTTGGTTTTGGCTCAGGTCATGATCTCGGGGTCATGAGACTGAGCCCCATGCTGGGACTCCATGAGAGTCTGATGGGGACTCTCCCTCTGCCCCTCCCCCCCACTCCCTCTCTCTCATATAGAGCAATCTTTTTTTTTTTTAATATAGAGCAATCTTTCTTAAAAAAGGAAATTTAAGGGGCGCCTGGGTGGCTCAGTGGGTTAAGCCTCTGCCTTCGGCTCAGGTCATGATCTCAGGGTCCTGGGATCGAGCCCCACATCGGGCTCTCTGCTCTGCGGGGAGCCTGCTTCCCCCCCACCCCCCGGCCCACTTCTCTGCGTACTCGTGATCTCTGTCAAATAGATAAATAAAATCTTAAAAAAAAAAAAAAGGAAATTTAAAAAGAAACAAATACATCCATAGTGATTCTCTGACTCTCAGGACATGGGTTTGAGCAACCCAGTTATAAAAATGCATAAAACTGAGAGCGCAACGCCGTATAATCGGTGTGAGCGACGTGCGGCACGACCCAGCTTGCTAAAGCAACCGGAACACAGGCAATCGAGGCAGAACAGCTGGAGGGATTTGCAAGGCCTGGGAATGTGGGAAAACTCTCCTGGATTCCCAGGAGAAAACCAGCTTCCAGGCCAGACCCCCCCCATTACTGTGGAGCAAACCCGACCCCCCAATGACCAATCCTAATGTGTGGCTCCATAGAGCCACGCAGAAAGCTGATGTGGCAAAATCGTGACCACGGGGATGTGCGAGCGCCAGCCCTGGGGAGCAGAGAAGGCTCCTGTGGGGAGAGGGCATGGGGCACTGGCATAGGGGGAGAGCCCAGTGAGAAGGTCGCTCCAGGGGTGCCCTGGGTGGGAATCCGGGCTCACACCAGGAGTACAGACACCCAGGTGACAGAGGGTTCAGGCAGAAGGGGACGGCCAGCCTCCCGCCTCATCTTCAGAAGCAGGTGGGCCAGAGGGCTCCCAGTGCTCTCCAGCGGGCGTCCTCCCTGGACACTGTCCCAGTGGCAGAGAACCATGAGCAGCAGCCAGGCGCTGAGGCTCCAAGAGTGGTTCAGACACCTGGACCTTCAAGAGAAGGTCTGCGCAAACCCAGCAGGCCTGCCTGCAGGACGCACCAGTTCTTCACTGTCCTGTACGCTGGGGATTTGTCCTGCAGCCCGGCGGCCAATGCCTCGAGAGCGACTGACGACAGGTGGTGGGAACAGAAAACACAACAGTTCAGCCTCACAATCCACCAAAAATGACCCCTGACCAGCTACTCCCGGACAAATCAGGTAGTGAGTCTTTGAGAAAGGGAAGCTCCTCAATTTCCAGGTAAGAGACCCCGTCGGCCTCCTACACCCCCCATGAGTACAGGTCCCCCAAACAATCCAATGGTACCAAAGACTTAAGCCTTTTAAATCCATCAAATGTCGGAAGCAATAAAATGCTCCCCTAGTTAACTGTTAACAGGTTGTCACTCATGGCTCCCGACATTAAATGCAAAGCCACCGACATCTGAAAGCAGGATGAACAGTTGAGGGTGAGCTCGGGTGAGGACTTGAAGAGGAAAGGCAGGAAGCCCTGGGAACCCTTGGTTAGCCAACTAGCCGTTGCCCAGCCTGGGGCTCGGCACAGACAACTCACAGACCAGCATCCTCTGCAGCACGGTCACCGCAACCTGTCAAAGCAGAACATGGGCCACGGTTACTCACCTTGGGGTACTGCCCAGGGAAACAAGCAGTCACCCTACAGGCAAATGATAAAGTGCCTCCACACACAGCCCGACACTGGGGAGACCCAACTGAGCAAAAGGCAGACTTCCTGCAAGGATCTGCCGCGATCCCCAGGACCTCTCTCAGCGTGGCCCCGGGCCCTGGCCTCACCCTGCCGGCCTCCCACGGCCTGGGGCTCACGGGTCCGCACAGAGTTCTGCTGCTAAAAAGCTCTCCAATTCTGGGACGTGCTGAAGGCTTTCACCCGCAGGAACTTTGGAAACCAGAAAATGGCGGAGACATCCCTGCTTTGCTCCATTTCCTCATGTCCACTAGACGTAGGGAGTAATGGCACTAGGGGAGCACCTCAGGAAAATAACAGTACAGATCTCCCATCAAAGCTGACAGATGAGGGGCGCCTGGGGGGCTCAGTCGTTAAGTGTCTGCCTTCAGCTCAAGCCATGATGCCAGGATGCTGGGATCAAGCCCCATGTCATCTGCCGTGTTCTTCCTCTCCCTCTGCCCCTTCCCCCCACCCCTCCTGGCCACTTGTGCTCTCTAATAAAATCTTTAAAAAAAAAAGCTTATAGATGCATGTGGGGTCACTGGTCTAAGTAAGAACTTCCATTGTTGTCACAAGCCACTTCCAGACTCTCCATCTGACGTTCTTACCCGGGCCACGCGTGCAGGCTCCACACCTCTGAGATCTGAGTTTTTCTGAAATCCTCTCAAAACAAACAACTGCATGAAATCTGAAAAACCACAAAACCCGAGGACGGACATGCACACCGTGGATCACGCAGGGCACCGACTTCCCCACACCTGGAAAGGTGCGCACCCATGTCTCTTCTTCCCGCTCCACTCCCCACGCACACGCCTTCACTGGCCCAACCAACCCAAACCTTCCTGAACCAGACTTTGCTTCTCGCTGCTCTACTTGAAAGGGAAATACTCATAATCGAGTTTATGGGAAGGATTTTTCTCTTAAAACAAAGTATCTGGGGATGCCTGGCTGCCTCAGTCGGTGGAGTGGATGACGCCTGACCTCAGGGGTGTTAAGTCTGAGCCCCATGTTGGGTGTAAAGATCACTTTAAAAAAAGGCGGCAGCGGGGGGGCGGCGGGGCAGGCGCCTGGGTGGCTCAGGCGGTTAAGCGTCTGCCTTCGGCTCAGGTCATGATCCAGGGGTCCTGGGATCGAGACCCCCTCAGGCTCCCTGCTCAGTGGGGAGTATGCTTCCCCCCTCCCACTCCCCCTGCTTGTTTGTCCCCCCGGTCCTGACAAATAAATAAATAAATAAAATCTTTAAAATAAATAAATAAAAGGGGGATGCCTGGGTGGCTCAGCGGGTTAAGCCTCTGCCTTTGGCTCAGGTCATGATCTCAGGGTCCTGGGATCGAGCCCCACATCAGGCTCTCTGCTCAGCGGGCAGTCTGCTTCCCCCTCTCTGTCTGCCTCTCTGCCTACTTGTGATCCCTCTCTCTCTGTCAAATAAATACAAAAAAAATCTTTAAAAAAAAAAAAAAAGCATCTAAGTTTTCCTGTGGATTGTCTCTCCAGCCAATCTCCTAAACAAATAATGTAAGGCCGGTTCTAGAAGGACCAGAAGCATTACATTCTGGGGAACAAGGCAGGAAGCAGACTCCTACTTCCTGAAAAGATTAGAAGATTTTTTGTCTCATCTTCGATTTAAACTTAAACTCTGAGTCTAGACTCGGGAACTCATAAGGAGCTCACATCCATCACCAAGAAAGTTTTAGGAAAAAGGAACACCTCTTCTGCAATGTAAAAAAAATTCATAGGCTACCTGTACAGAACATTCCACTTCTCATCTAATTTTCTACTTGTACATTTTGTCCTTCAGACATTCCTGGCAATGGCCAGGATCTGCTGGCTCAGAGAGGAATCAGGGATAGGGCCCACTCTAAGGGAAATGCACCCAGAAAAACAAGTGTGACAAGAGACAGCCACTCTGAGCTGCTGTCCAGGACAACATGGGGCCCCTGCTCTCACCCAAGTCTATGTGTAGATCAGGCCGTGAGCTCAGCACGCTTGCCACAGTTTCTACTTTGCTTTTTCTGAGCACGTTTTAAAATAACTGCTTAGAATGGAGTCCACAGAAAGTCAGTGGCCTCAGGCCGAACCACCATACAAGTAACAGGTGCCTGCTCTGCCTCGCCTGTGGGCTTCCCCAGCTCCCCACACCCCTCCTTTTCTGGGATCTGAAAGTACAGATTCCTGTGACTTGACTTCTCTCCGTAAGTGCCCTGAAGCCACACCTCCAGTCAACATGGCTCTGGGGGTTTTCTCTTCCCAGAAGGGAGAGCTTGGGTGCTGATAAAGCTACCGGACAACCCCATGTGGGTGGCTGTGCCTCCCAATTCAGCAGGTCATAATCTGCATATTTTAAACACACCAGTGATAGGCCCCCAAACACAATGGGGCAACTGACGGACTGTATCAAAGCTCTCACAGCATTCAGGGGTAAGCAGACCCATGGAGCACGTCCAGGTAAAGACGGTTCCATTCCAAATTCCTAGGCTAGAGTGGGGCTGTCCATTTCCCACAGACCCGCGCAGAAAGCATCCCCATGGACCTCAACTTTGCCCATGAACCTGCCCTGGTGTGCACCTACCAGAAAGCATAGTCCGGGCGATGTCCGTGTGCTGAGTGGACGCTTCCACCTGCTCACACAGAAGGCACAGGTCCCTGAAGAGCCACGCAACCGTGGACTGCGTGTCGGCATGACTAGGGACAAAGCACACAGCTCACCCCGGGCTCACCACCGTCCCGAATCCATCAGGCCCTCTTCTTTCACACACACTTCACTAGGAAGCCTAAGCACTGAGAACCAGCTGGCAGTCCCCTGGAGCGTGCCCTGAGGTCAGGAGAGGGCCACTAACACCCAAGAGCTGGAGGGGAAGCTGCTACTGGCATTAAAAAGAATCATTTTTAAAGAGCATAACTCGAACAGCTGACTACTACCTGGGGGAAAAAAAATAATCAGAAAGAAAGAAAATAATCAGAAAGAAAGAAAACAGCAGCAATTTTAGGCTGTCACAGGACAGACATTGGTCAAGGGCCTCAGCCATGCAGAACCATCTGGGGAGCCTGGATCTGGAAGCAGGAGCAGTGGGGTGGGGGGGTCCTCACCTTAAAATTTCATTCGGGCCCCTGGCTCTGGCACCTCTGACGTCTGGCACCTTTTCTTGTGCTTGGCCTTATGTGTACCCTCCTTGGACAACTGTCTATTGAAATCCTTAGTCCATTTGTAATTAAATTGTCTTTTTATCGTTGAACTACAAGAGTTCTTTATTCTAGATACTAGATTATCAGATACGTGATTTGCAAAAAAATGTCTTCCATTCTATGGACTGTCTTTTCATGGTCTTAACAGTGTTGACACAAGTTTTATAACTTGGTGAAGCATTAATTTTCCCTCTACATTTCCTTTTGTTGCATGAGTTTCAGGCATCCTGTCCAGGAAACAAATGCCTAATCCAAGCTCATGCAGACGTAACCCTAGATTTTCTTCTAGAGATTTTAGGGCTTTAGCTCTCACGTCAAGGTCTTGGATGCACGATGACTTAGTTGCTGTGTGTGGTGTGGAGCATGGGTCTGACTTTATTCTTTTGCATGTATATGTCCAGTTGTCCCAATACCGTTTGTAAAACAGACCATTTCCCCCCATTCGATGTCTTGGCACCCTTGTCAGAAATCAACTGACAGGGCACCTGGTGGCTCAGTGGGTTAAGCATCCGACTCTTGGTTATGAGCTCAGGCTTGTGAGATCGAGCCCTGCATCGAGCTCTGCATTGAATATGGAGTCTGCTTGGGATTCTCTATCTCCCTCTGCCCCTCCTGCTTGTGTTCTCTAAAATAAGTAAATAAAGCTTTAAAAAGATAACTAATGATGGGCACACCTGGGTGGCTCAGTCAGTTAAGTGTCTGCCTTCAGCTCAGGTCATGATCCCAGGGTCCTGGGATTGAGCCCCAAATTGGGCTCCCTGCTTGTGCCATCTAATAAGTAAAATCTAAAAAAAAAACAAAACAAAACAAAAAACAATGACAGAAATGTAGGGCTTTACATTTGGATTGGAAATCCTGGCCCACTGCTCTAGGTCTACCCTTAGGCCAGCACCACAGGCCAGCTCTATAGTAAGTTCTGAAAACAGGACCTGGGACCCCTCAATGTTGTTGTTCTCTCTGAAGAATTTTTGGCTACTCAGGGCCCCCTGCACCTCCACTTCAGTATCAGAATCAGCTTGTCCATGTATGGAAAAAAGCCAAGTTAGGTTTTGATGGAGATCAAGCCGCATGCATCAGTCAGTGCTGGGGGCATGGGGGATGCCGCCCTCCTAACAATATCAGGTGTTCCAGTCCATGAGCAGGGAATGTCTGTTTCTCTAGCTCTTAGAGCCAGGGGCCCGAATGAAATTTTAACTTCCTTTTCAGATTGTTCACGTTCTTATATAAAAACACAACTGAGGGGTGCCTGGGTGGCTCAGTCAGTTGGGCGGCTGCATTCGGCTCGGGTCATGATCCCAGGGTCCTGGGATCAAGCCCCGTGTTGGACTCTCTGCTCAGTGGAGAGCCTGCTTCTCCCTCTCCCTCTGCCTGCTGCTCTGCCTACTTGTGCTCTCTCTCCATCTCTCTAATAAAGAAAATCTTAAAAAATAAAATAAAACAAAACACAACTGATTCTGAATGTTGGAGCTGTTTCCTGCAACCTTGCAAAAGCTGCTGACGCGCTAATACTTCTCAGTAGGGGTTCCCTAGGCTATTCAATACGTAAGATGTGGTCCCCTGCAGACAGCTTCGCTCTTCCCCTCCCAATCTGGACACTTGTTTAAATCCCCCTATGCCCAGGTGCATGGGTCAAGAAACGTGTTTTTCATAGTTAAAATTTGTCAGCCTAAGTCCTGGGCCTTATATCATAGTTAGACCTTTCCTGCTCCAAGATTATAGGGTCATCTTCCATGATTTCTTCTAGTACTTTCATAATCTCATTTTCCCGCTATGACTTACCTAGAATTTTTCTGTTCTAAGGTGAAGACTCAACTTTTCAAATCGAGATGTGACCCACGTGTCACAACGCCATTGATTTCAACACAGACTTTTCAACAGTGCTTCAGGGTTCCCCAAATTAGACACTCAGTTTTTCCTGACCTGATGACAAATATACCCATCTCTGGCTTTCTGCGTGGCAAGAGCGTGGCCGAGAGCATGGCAGGCCAGAGCTCCCAAGGCCTCCTCTGTGTGCATTCAGAGATACTGAGTCACCCTCCTCCACCTTCCGGCAGGGGTGCTCAGCTCTCCCACCCTGCGGTCCTTTAGGAACAGACTGAGCACCACACTGCTGGCTAAGGGCAAGTCTATCTCAAGCCTCCTCGGTCATTTATCACAGGTCTCTCTGCCTTCTGCTTCCAAAACTTTGCTTCTCCTCTCTTCTCTTCTACTGCCCTCTGTAAGCGGTTATCTTTGAATCAAGTCATTTTCCTTACTCTTGATGGGACTTAAGAAGGAAATAAAAGTAGGTACACACATTCTATCAACCATATTTATCTGAATATCTCTTTTTAAATTTTTTTTTTTTAATTTTCTATGCGGGGGCGGCTGGGTGGCTCAGTGAGTTAAGCTGCCGCCTTCAGCTCAGGTCATGATCCCAGGGTCCCGGAATCAAGTCCCTCCTCCAGCTCCTCGCTCAGCAGGGAGTCTCCCTCTCCCTCTGCTTGCCACTCCCCCTGCTTGTGTGGGTGCACTCTCTCTGTCTCTCTCGCGCTCTCTGACAGATAAATAAATATTAAAAAAAAATAAAATTCTTTTCAGGGTGCCTGGGTGGCTCAGTTGGTTGGGCAACTGCCTTTGGCTCATGTAATCTTCCTGGAGTCCCAGGTTCGAGGCCTGCACAGGGAATCCCTGCTCAGTGGGGAGTCTGTTTCTCCCTCTGACCCTCCCCCATGTCGTTCTCTTTCTCATTCTCTCTCTCAAATAAAGTCTTTAAAAATAATTTTTTTTTCTAGGTAAGAAGTTTACTTTATTTTTTGTAGTAATCTCTATACCCAACATAGGTCTCAAACTCAAAATCCTAAAATCTAGTCTTATGCTCTTCCAATTGAGCCAGCCAGGCATCCCCTTTAAAAGACAAAAAATTTTAAATATTTTTATTTATTTGAGAGAGAGAGAGAGAGCGCGAGAGAGCGAGCGCGCGCACAAGCAGGGGGACCAGCAGGCAGAGGGAGAACCAGGCTCTCCACTGAGCAGGGAGCCTGATGTGGGACTCGATCCCAGGACCCTGGGATCACGACCTGAGCCAAAGGCACATGCTTCACCGACTGAGCCCCCAGGTATCCCTCCTATGATAGATTTTATACAAAGAAAACATTACCAAGTTTGTACATGACAAAGAATTTGATTATAACAAATGTTCTCTTTAAATAATGAAGACTTTCTCTCAGTGATTTTTGGCTTTGATTTATAAATAAATCATAATACACTAGACCACAAAAAGTAAGTCCTATAACACTAAGGTCAGGTAGAATAATCACTGGTACACTACCTTTCCCACAGCTCCGGGAGGCTCACAATGTTCTGTACGTGAAGACGCCACACAGCTTCAAGCAACAAAGAATTCTGAAGAAAATAAGAGTAGTAAGCGTCTTTCGTGCACACATTTTCCTACAAAGTGCAGAGCCGTACGCTGAACTCCTGGACCCTACGGACAACTGGGGTGGAGTGACAGGCACAGCCCCAAACACGTACATGGTCACGGTGGCTTCAGACTTACTGCTCCCACTCTTCACCTCCCCAGCCCCCAGCACCCTGTCCAGTCCCTAGTGCCACCTGCTTCTAGGACTTAGTCCCCTGTGGCCAATACAAGATCCCACAGTACAAACTGGACATGGCAACCTTCTTTCTTCTTTGGACCCTTTGGTGGCTCTTCGCAGCTCTCAGAACAAAGGCCCAGACTCTTGGACACAGCACAGGACCCTTATAACCCGGTGTCTGTGTCTCTTGTTCTCTGTCCCAGCGAGCTCCCCCATCTGCACCACAGCACCCTCGCCCCTGTCCCCGGGACATCTTGCTCAAGTCTCCTGTGTCCCATGGCCTACTTTGCCAAGCTCGCCTTCACCCAACAAAACGGCACTCCTCCTCCACACCCCGTGCAGCTGCCAGCTCTCTTACAAAGCCTTTCCTGCCACCAACCATGCAGCCATCCACTCTTCCCTGCACACCTGTGGACACCTACGTCATGACAATGCACGGGCACCCGGCTGCCCTCCCTCCAACTACACAGCCGCCATCGAGCACAGGGACCACAGCAACACTGACACAGCTACAGACACATACGTAAAGTATGCTGGATAGAAGAATGGGGGGGGGACCATGAACGCAACATCACCTGGGCTGTCCTTTCCTTTCACTATATTCTTACTGATCTCATTTAATAACGAGTTACCTTGAGTACTTTCAACTACTCAAAAATCTGTAAACCTACTGAATTCAAAACGCTTCAAAACAGAATAAAAATAATTTTTTAATTATAATTTTCTACTTTACTATACTACCATGGGAAATTGTTCATAATTATACCTAAGAAGAGAGACCATGTTTCTGTGGTACAGTCTGATAAACATTACTAACGATGGGTGAATACTGACATATACGGTCACTGAAGGCACTTTTTTTCCCACCCACAGAGACATGAGCTGAATGCCTCCCTTCCCACCCGTGATTAATGAGATG